CGCAATGACCGTGCGCCACGCGTCACCGACGTCGTCGCTCCAGAAACTGCCGCCGAGCGACCGCAGCGTCTCAATCATGGCGAGACCGAGGCTGTCAAAGAACTCGAGCTTGACGCCATACTGAATGTGGCGCAACGCGAGGGCCGCAATGTTATTGGTGGCATCGGCCGAGTGTAAAATGTGACGGATTGCACCGACAATGTTGACCAGCGCCTTGCTTTGCACGTGCATCGAATTGCGAAACACGGGCCGCGTCGCCGGGTCGATCGTGTACAAATTCGTGAAAAAGACATCGTAAAACTGGACGACGGCCGACGACTCGGGCGGCGCGTCCGGGTCCGTGTTGACTTGGAGCTTTCGCCGCTCGAGCTCGGCGCGCAACTTGGCGCCAATGACGACTTCCCACGACCGCGTCATGAGCTCTTCGTCCTTGGGCGTCGGCGCGCGCGTGGCTGTGAAATTCGGCGCGTATTTTTTGAGCAGTTTGATGTGGCCCCGCGCCAGCACGAGTTTGCCGTTGCCGTCCACGTCGACTTTGTACTTGTACGACGGCCCCGAGAAGAATGTGCCCATTTGACTTGCGCGATGGAAATCGACTTTTGGCTGATGACGGGGTGTACACCTCGCTATCACGTATAGCGCCATAAGCTTCCAAGTCCCAACAGACAGCAAGGTGGTAGAGACAAGCACGCGCACCACGTGCATAGATAAGCTCTCTTTCTGCCGTCGCCGGCGAAACAAGATATACCTTGGGTACTGTCGACGTTGAAACGGATCGAAGATCGCCCGCTTGTTCGATACTCCCAGCGCGTGGATGCTTTCAACCAATCACAGGTGATGCGAATCGGAGGACTACGTAGAATGAGCGGCATTGGTGTTCCAAGAGAGACCAAGGCGGCGTCGGAGCTCTATTAGCCATTCAAGGCTAACCGTGTGCCAGCCCTTCAAGAGCTACACGCAGTTCAAGGACTTTGTCCGAGACGAGCACCCGGACGTGCTTGCATTGGCCGACGGCGCACACGAGAGTGACCTGCAGCGCCTCGTCGCTGATAAATCGTGCCGCATCATCCGAGACATGCACGCACGCGTCGATATGCCAAGTTTCAGCAGATTTTTTTTTGGACCGATTCGACTCTAATATATATCATCGTAAACAACGGCCGCTGCATGAAAAGATATCCTTTTCTTCTAAGCCGCACGCGAGGTAGACCAGCGGACAGCGCGCTTCCCAACGGTCACACGGCTCGCTCGTGTGTCAGTTGGGAAGAGGGCATACATACGTAACCTTGGATGCAAGGATCAAGCCTTGCGAGGCCAACGATTTCTTGGACGAAGCGCTTCATTTTGTCGTAGCGTGGTCTTGTATGCTCTTTCCATCGTGTCCGAGCTCTGCGACCAAGGCACACCCAGTCAAGGCTCTTCTAGCCGTGCACGCAGCACGGGAAGAGAGATGGACGAGGCGTGATCACGACTCGTCGAGTCCGACGTTCCGGCCTTTAGTGTGCATATATTAACGCCGCGTTGCACTTGCGGAGCGCACAGGACATGCACGACCTGACGAGGAAGAGCTCCGATTGCACGTGCAGCACGACACCTCGTGATGAACGACGGGATTCGTTTATTGTACTCTTTTGCCACTATGATCCGTCAGGCAACGAGAGACAATGCAAGCTACTGGCTCGCAGAAGTGGCAGAAAGCTTGACCTTGGCAACGTGTGGCCATAAACATGTTGGTTGCTGTACTTCAACAAGTGTTCTACGGTGCATTCTTCAATGCCACGTTATCATTGAATGTTCCCAGGGGTCAACAGCGTGCGATTTGGAAGTGTCATCGTCGCTGGTCGCGTCGCAACGACTTGACCATAGCGAGTAGTGAATCTGTCTTCCACTTCCGATCACGAGCTATCCTGCAGCTCGCATCGTGAGAACCACGCACCTGACCACATTCGCACAAGCCTGTTCAGTGCAGCGCCGTCGAACACGGTTGGAAAATCCTCCCACGTTTATATTGCAACGTCCACACACAAGCCAGAGCAAACGGGGTTGAATTCAGGCGATCGTTATATCGAGAGCGCTAAAGAAAGTTCACGATGAGTCACCGCAGCTATGTCAGCCCAAGTTCTCGTTGCGTTTTTTACTTCACTAGTAGTAGGTACTTACTATGACGGTGGTTCTTTTGTTGGCACGATCGCTGCAGCCCAAACGCCTCGGACTGAGAAGCATGGGACGGACATTTGACATGTACTTGAGTAGATTGCAGGCATCCGATCCCGAAAAGCGCAACAATCGTATGGCTCATGACTTGCCCAAACCTCTTTTGCTTATACTGTTTGGTTTGTGTACGGGGTGGAAGCGACTTGCTCATGTTTGGAACGTGACGCAAAGAAAACTATTAGGTGAGTGCCAAGACGAGCTGTGGCGAGGACACGTCCCATTTCTGGAATCGTTTGAGTAGATGCCCATCGGTCAAGAACGCTGATTTCTATTCCCATCGGACGTTAGATACCGAAATGGACGACGGCAGCATGCAGTATTGGCTGCAGAATCGCTGCGACCTCGGCCGCGGTCATTCGATCACTCGGTTCTGGGGCCACGCAGTGAGCAACCAAGTTGGCGTAGTCTTCCTCGCAATCCTCCGAGAGAGGTGGGCGAAAACCGTTTGGCACCAAATCCCGCAGCACGGCTTCGTCGACTTCGTCTTCGCCATACGGCAGCTCGTGGGTGTCGAGCTCGGTCAAAATCACACCCAGTGCGTAGACGTCAGATGCGGTGGTGCGAGCGGCCCCGACGAGGACCTCGGGCGCTGTCCACCGCAGCATCGAGTTGGCATCGTCGCTGTCCGGCGTCGTACCAGGAACGCCGACCTTGATAAACTGCCGGCGGGAAAAGAAGACGTTCTCGCTCGAGAGATGGCCGTGCACGAGGCCGCTGGCATGGCAATCGGCGAGCGCGTTGGCGACGCAGTACGCGACTTGGACTTGAAGCAACTTGTACTGACCAAAGTGGTACTCGCGCGGCACGTGCAGGAGGAGGTTCCGGAGACTTCCTTCGTCCATGGCCTCGACGGCAACGGCATTGGGCCTGTCCAATGCATAGATGGGCACCACGAACGGCGACGAGAACCTACAACATGGATTGTGATGTGCGTGCATCCACAATGATTGCCATGTACGAGAGGATCGCGTCGACAGATTCGTTGGCTGCTGGCGAGAGGAAGCGCTTTTCGGCGATGCGGAGGCCGATCGGCTCGCCTGGCGTTGGCATCTCGTCTCTAGCCACCTACGCGTCGGTTGAGACTCGGGGAGCACTCCACAAAGAAAACTACCGTGCCTACCGAGACGGTGAGTGCACCGTGCAGCGCGCGCACCGCGCTCATGTCGCCGCGGGCGATGGCTTCGGCCAGTGCCGTCTTTCCGTCCTACGCGCCCTGAGAAAGCTGCAACAGTCTTTAGCTAGACATCCTACCGAACTGGTCGCGTCCAGGTCGACACCGGGGGCTTGGAGCAAGACTTTCAAGACGGCGAGGTTGTGCGAACGCACGGCGATGTGGACAAGTGCGTTGCCGTCCTAGCCATCACACGTTGGATTATTCCCGAGTCGATCGTCGCGTTGGTTGTTGCACCTCGTCCACGCAGTTGGGGCGACACGAGATGGCGAGAAGGCACTGTAGCGCAGCCGCGTCGCCTTCTCTTGTGACACGAGCTAATTGCTAGAGGGATCGCCGTTTTCGCCTGGGAGGCTACAGCTAGAGCATGTCCCACCGTCGCGTGTTCGGTCTCCTTCACGGCCTGTGCGTGATTCATCGCCGCGCGACGCTTCTCGGCTGTGCCAATATCGAGTGCCTCAAGAAGCTGTTGCACGCCATCCGGAAGCACTGGCACCGACCCCTGCACAATGCACACATATATGTGAGGCAACGACGCTGGCGGTTGAGACACCTACGAGGCGAGTAACGTTGCTCTTGAGAGCTACTGTGAGTCGCGCAAAAAGCAACTTGAACGTGACGTCGTCCGACGTGGCCAAACTTGGCGCGTTGCAGCCAGCGCACGTGGTGCTAAAGTCGAACGTCGTTTTGCAGAGATTGCACTCCATCGTCCAATTGATGAAGCAGCCTCGCTTGTGCAGCGTTCGCAGCCGCCGTAGCACCACGACGAGCTTGTCGCGTGTCGATGCTACATGGTCGCACGCGCTACATGTCGCTTTGATCGAGTGCCAGCTGCCACAGCCAGCGCAATTCACGTCCTGTGTGTGAAGCAACGCTTCCTATATGTCAACATGTGCTTCATGCAGACTGGGAAAGGCGACGTACACCAACGGATGCAGCCGTCAAGAGCGGCCGTAGAGCAGCCATCGATGCATCCGTTTCGACAGCTTCCAAAAGCGTCGGTCCCTAATGCCATCCGATGAGTAAAATTCAGCTCCATTGGTCAACGTGTTGCTACCACTCTGGGGGAAATGCCAACGTCGGCGCCGGCATCCAGGAGCTGCGTCACGCCAACTGGATCCTTGTTGATGACGGCGTACAGCAGCGGTGTTGCCCCGTCCTTCTACATAGTAGATTCAGTGAGCCACATGAGACAGGATGTTGCTAAACCTCGGTTCGAGCGTCAACGGCGGCGCCGGCGCGCAAAAGTAAGTCGACAATCGGGTAGCGCCGTGAGCTGGCCGCCAGATGCAGCGGCGTCCGACCGTTCTACGTTCCATCATATACTTGCCGCTCGACGACAACAAAACCAACCACACGGGTGTCGACGTCCGCACCAGACGCCAAGAGCACTTGGACGCAGTCCTTGGCGTTGCACATCGCCGCCAGATACAGCGGCGTCACGTCGCCCTAGACGTCGCGAGATTTGTCAATCGTCCTAGAATGGCCGGGAACACCTACGGGCAAGAGCGCATTGGGGTCCATGCCCGCAGCGAGCTGCGCATCAACGACGACGGCCGCATCGTTCGTGAGCGCTCGGTGGAATGCGTCGAATGCCTAGATCAAAACGCATGTCTCACATGGATGTACGTATATGTACTGGAGAGGAGCAGGTGCATACATCCTTGCTCGCCACCGCCGCGGCTACGTGCGTCTGCAAGACTTCGACAATCTTGGCGGCCGTCGGGCGCGCATTGGGATTCGCCAAGAGACACTGCTCCGTCAGTTGCTGGTACCAAGGCTCGCAGTTCTTGCGGAGCGTCGGTCGGACGGAGCCATCGAGAACGCCGTTCACAAACGCATGATGCGTCATGGAAAGCTGGTCGTAGTACGGCAGTTCGAGCGTGTCGAGCTCCGTGAGGAGCACTCCAAAGGCATAGACGTCGGCTTCCATACCGTAGCGCCCCGGAATATCGGTGCGGAGCGCCTCGGGCGCGGTCCAGTAGAGTGTCCCTGGCACCGCCGTCGAAATCGTCGCGCGTTCCCGGGCCGTGCCCAAGTCGCCGACCTTGATGTAGCCCATGCTACTGACGAGCACGTTGAGGCTCTTGATATCGCCGTGGGCAAATCCCATGGAGTGCAGATCGCGCAGCGCGTTGGCAACGACCCAAGCCACCTCGAGCTTGGTCATGTTCAGAGACATTTTCTCGCCGGACTTCTTCTTATCGAGATACGTGCGCAGATTGCCCCCGTCCATGTACTCGAGAACGAGCGCCGGTGTCTTTGAGTGGCGGTCGGCGATCGCCAAGAGCTCCACCAAGTACGGTGACGCACACCTACGACGAAGTTAGACCCGAGAATATGCCACCAAAAGGTCGAGAGACGTGAGCATCGCGTTGATCTCGGTTCGGAACGACTGGACATGCGCAGCACTGTTGGGGCGCTTGACAGCGACAAATCGCCCGTGGTACGAGCCCTTGGAGACGTTGCCATTGCCTCCAGCGCCGAGGTGAGAACAAACGTCTTGGACATCCGCCAGCGTGATCTGGGTACGTTCATGTCCAGGTTGTAATTCTTTACGGAGCAAGATGCACACATACCTCGTCCACAGGACGCTGCTTGTGGCGAAAGATCATGTCGGCGATTTGCGTGTGACCACGTTCGATGGCCAACGAGAGGGGTGTTTTTCCTTCCTACTCGGCGAGGCATGAGTGTACCTCGCATCCGGCGACTGTGGTACATGGTTGTGCGTATCGAGGTGCATTTGCGGCTGCTTTAGTAGCAGCTCCAACAGTGCCACGTTCTGCTTCATGACGGCCCAGTGCACAAGCGAGCACCCGACCTGTCGAGCACATCGTTATACGATGTATGTAAAGAGACGTCTTCTACCTCGTCCGTGACGTTGGCGCTCAGCGGGCGCTCCAGAAGCAGACGAATGCAGTCCACGGCACCGTGCTGGGCCGCCTCAAGAAGGGCGTCTTTCTATAGTTGCCATCAGCGTCCATCCCGCAAGGCGTCGTTTCGTACGTGTTCGATGGCGTCGTCGAGCAGCGACTTGAGCGCCGCATTGCGGCTGTTTTGGGCGAGGCTCCACGGCGTGTCGCCATCCTACACCAGCTGTGAATAGGCGGCATCGAAAGTGGCCTTGTACATAATTGACAACGTCAAAGTCAAAGCCAGCGTTCAAAAATACGTCGACGACATTGACGTAGCCCGTGTCGACGGCCAAATGTAGCAGCGTGGTACCTCGCTATGCCACAAACATGAGATCACGTGTAGAGACACGTCGGCCTCGTACTGCGTCACGCTGGTTGACGACGCCGCGCGGCGATGCGAGCAGCATCGATACAATCTCGGCGTGGCCTTCCTGAATCGCAATGTGCAGCGGCGTCAGGCTCGCCTAACCCCGACGCATCGTGTCAAACAGACAAGGCATTGGTGGCACTGAGATGTTTATGTACGTGGTAGAGTGCCGTCGTGTCGGCGCCAAGGTCCATAAGCTGCGGCACAAGCGACGTGAGGCCCAAGCGACAGGCCATAAAGAGCGGGCTCTCGCCCCACTACACCTTATGGTTAGGTCCGATCGATTGCATGGTTACACATGGACGCACCGCATCATCGTTGACATCGGCGCCAGCATCAAGAAGCAGCTTGGCCGTCGTCACGTGGCAGCCGTAGAGGGCTTGCGTCAACGCTGTCGCACCTCGCTAAGACATGCACAGTTGTAAGTGGGTGGGTTGCGTATTTGTGGCATTGGAGCACCGGATCGCGGCGCTTAATGTCGGCTCCAGCCGTCACAAGCGCGTTCACAAGAGGCAAATACCCATGCATGGCGGCCATCTGCAGCGGCGTCAACCCGTACTACGCACTCGTCAACGTGAGTCGTCCAGACGACAGGAACGATACACTACCGTCTCTTGGACGTCGAGAGCTGCACCGGCACCAATGAGCGCGTTCAAAACCTCGATTTGATTGGTGTCGGTGGCCAGGTGCACGACATGCCCGACCTAGCACGAATTACATCCAAGGTTGCACAGAGCGCGACTACCTCGTCCGCCGCATTCGCATTGGCGCCACGCGCCAGAAGCATCGCAACCATCTGGGGTTGGCGGCCGGCCACCGCAAGCATAAGTACCGTCTGGCCAACCTACGTACGTCCCATCCACCAACATATCAGTCGCGTCACGCGTACCTTACTCGCCGACTCCATTGGCACCCCTTCGTTGAGCAGCATTGCAGCAACCTCCAAGTTGCCAAAGAATGCTGCACGAAGGAGCCGCTGCTCCGGCTATCAAGACCATCTCACATCAACACAAGAGCAGAGGACGGGGCGTTGACGTACACCAAGACTCTCGTCTGGCGACTGGAAATCCTATGATCCACAAGGTGAGACACAAGATGTAGCATGTGGCAGGCTCCAACCAGAGGGACGCGTGGTGCAGGCTGGGGTTCCGACTGGACTTGGGGCTCCGGCTCGACTTGCGGCTGCATTGAGCTGTGGCCGTGGCTTTCCGGCGCGGCGCGCAACTACAAAAAAGGTCGTTCAATGCCACCATGTTCCCAAAAGCTATTAGCACCGTACCTGGTCGTTCCGAAACGCGCGCAGCGACAACACGAGCTTCGATTGCCTACACAAAGACATGAGGCTCTGTGCTGTGATGTAGCAGCAGGAACCGCACTTGGCGAGCAGCTCGGGGCGCAAGTTGTTGACAATCTCGATTGCTGTCGGGCGATCCGCTGGATTTATGGCCTTGCAGCGCTTGGCGAGCACGGCGTACCACGCCGAGTTGTCTTGCTCGACGACGTCCGGGTACAGCTTCTCGAGGAGGACGCCAAAGGCGAAGATGTCGACGGGCGTGCCGTATGTCTCACGACTGGACGTGGAAACCTCGGGGGCCTTCCACTCGGTTGTGCCGACGCCTGTCGTCATGTGCATTGCCACACCCTTTGCAATGCCGAGGTCGGCGACCTTGATGTAATGGACCGACGAGAGGAGGATATTTTGGGTCTTGATGTCTCGGTGCACAATGTTTCTCGCGTGGAGGTCCTTCAGCGCGTTCGCAACGGCCCACGCGATTTCGACGTGCGAGTACCCGACGGCGGCGGGCGCTTGGGTCATCTCTGCGTTCAGGTACGACGCGAGGTCGCCGCCATCCATAAACTCGAGAAGAAGCTGCGGGTCGGTGTCCTCGTCGGCCGTCGCGACAAGCCGCACCACGTACGGCGACGGATTGCTACACAACGACGTCTAAGTGCCGATGCCAAAAAACACCTCGTCGTACGCTTTCATGACGCTGATTTCGCGACGAAAATGGCTGGCATCATGTCGGTTCTTCAGCATCTTGACGGCCACGTCGACACCGTCCAACGTGTCTCGGAAGACAATGCCAGAGCCGCCAAAGCCCAAGAGTGCTGTCGGCGGCGGGGACCGACGAGGCACCTATGTTTCATTGTAACAAATGCGTTTTGAGACGAGCAGCAAGCGTACGAGTGGGACTGTCGTCGCTTGGGCGGTAGTATGCAGCAAGTGCACCATGTCGTCTGCGGCCATCTTAATGGCGAGCATCATGGGCGACTCGCCAAACTACACAATTATGAAACACGGGCGATGGCAACTCGAGATCATTGCAGACCTTGTTGATACGCATGGTTGGAATCCCCGGTTGCTGAAGAAGCACGGCGAGCAGTGCGCGATGACCGCCAAGTACCGCGAGATGCACGAGCGTGTTCTCATGCTATGTGTTGCTGTGTATGCCTTGTCGGACTTGGCGATGTACGTACCTCGTCCACCTCGTGTGCGCTGAGGCCCTTGTCAAGCAGCGCAAGGACGCCGTCAACGTCGCCGAGGCGCGCCGCATGGAGCAATGTTTTTTCTACAGCGCGATACTGGATGGATTCGAGACGGCCACGAAAGGAGATACCTCGACACACAACGCTTCAAGCAAGTGGACAATGGCCATGCGGTCGTTGGTCATGGCCGCAGTGAGCGGTACCTGTCCATTCTATGGCTTCTCGGTGAATTCCTCGAATGGCTAACTTTCGTTGACGCACCTTGGCCGCCGTGTCCAGCGTCGCACCCGCGTAGACCAGTCGGCGCACGACTGCTTCGTGGCCACGAGACGCTGCAATGTACAGTGCTGTTGCGCCCGTCTACAGAATAATCCTTGACGCCATCGAACGACGCTGTGGTGGGTACTTGGCGGGCGATCGTATTGACGTCGGCGCCGGCTTGCAAGAGTAGATCCACGACGTCCAGGTGGCCATGCTCGGCCGCAGCGACAAGCGAAGGCACGTTCGTCTACGCGGCGTGACGGCATCCGGTCAATAGAAAGCTTGTGCGTACCGCCGTGCCGTCATTGGCGTGGGCGCCCAATTCGAGGAGGGCCGCAACGGCGGCAGAGTGGCCGCCCGTCGCGGCGCAGCGTAGCACGGTCGTCCCATCCTACCGCGACATGACGAGAAAATGCCGATTTTGGCTGGGGCGTACCAAGGAAGCGGCGTTGACATCACCACCCGCGTTGGACAGCACGTGCAGCATCGCGTAGTGACCACGCATTGCCGCAAAATGCATGGCCGTGATGCCAGCCTACGCTGGAGTCATCTCCTGATGTGCTTGGTCTTTCGCACCATGTCGGCGTCAACGGCGCTCATGCCTGCCTGCAAGAGCTGCATCGCGACGTCCACGTTACCACTTGCGGCAGCCGCCATCAGAGACGTGGTGCCATCCTAGTAATGCGTGGCGGCACCGTAAGCCATTGATCGATTTGCGGGTTGTCGCGCGTACCCGGCGGTGCAACCCGACGTTGGCTTTGGCAGCTAAAAGCGCTTCCACCGTTTCGCCGCGTCCGACCGCTGCGGCTTCCGTCAAGGCAGTTGTCCCGCTCTATGAACCATACATCACGACGCTCACATTACACTGTCAGAACACAAACTGTTTACGGCCAGCTGCAAGTTGACATTGGCTCCGCCGACAACAAGTCGCTCCACGACGTCCCGGTGCCCTGGCTGCGCTGCACGAAAGAGCGGCGGGGCGTCCATCTAAACGACAAAGCGGTGGTGATGCAGACACTCTGGACCGATATCGGTAGTACCGCATCCAACGCATCGGCGGTCGCTCCGGCGTCCAGCAGCACAGACACGACGTCGACGTGACCGTGCATCGCCGCAATCGCAAGTACCGGGTTCCCGTACTATTCGATGCATATGGTGGCGTTGTCCATACTTGGATTGGCGTGTACCGAATCGACCGTGTTGGGATCTGCGCCGTCGTGGAGTTGCTCCGCAACAGCGCTTGCTTGGCCGGCCGCGACCGCCTCGAGAAGCGTCCGAATCGGCATTGTCGTCTTGTCTCTCCTGCATCGCGTCATGCAGTGAGCGCTGTGGCATGGGCCACTCGTGGATCGTACCTATGCGTGCACGCCGCGTAGCTTGCGTCAAAAGGCAAACTGAGCTTGGGTTCACAGGCAACGATATCAATCCCGTGCAATTGATTGTACTAAGAGGCTCGTATCTGGCCCGAATGATATGTATTTATTTATAGAGGTATGAAGCCCATCTGGTCCTCACACCATACTAATTTCCAGTGATTTCGAGTACATCCCGGTGCTCTTCGCCATCGTGCTTACCGGTACGACCGTTTTACACTCACTGTACTTACTCGGCCACACGGTGCGTGGCGTTGGCACGAAAACACCTCTGCACTCCTCGGCACCAGAGCCGGCAAGCTGGCACGACGGCGGTGGATCACATGGCGCCGTGGAGCGCAAACGACACGTGCTTGGTGTGCTTCTTGGCTGGGTCCACGTGCGACGCCGCGCACAGGATGGTCGGGTAATTCTGCGCCTTGAGCGCTTGCAATCGCCACCGTTGTCGACTTCAAATGCAAACGTGCAGGTGGGTGAAGAAGGGTCGACGAAGCAGCTTCCGGGTGATGGGAGCAATAATGTCTCTTATCAAGATAAGCTATCAATCCTGCACCGCGACCTCCAGTCGTTGACGCCGCCTCAGTCGCTGGCGTCTCTCGAGGACCTCAACAAACTGCGTAGCTTTGCCGCCGACCGCGACGCCTGGAATGAATTTACGGAGCTTGTCGTCATGGACCATACCCGCGGCCGCAAGCGCCCCCGGGCGACTACAGAGGAGCAAGACGAGCTCCCGCGCCTGCGCAGCCACGGCCCGGCGAGTGAATGAAGAAGAAGGGGATTGCTAGTCTCTACGTATGCGAACTCTTTGTAACAACGAAGCTAAGGCGAAACACGTTCATATTTTATCAAGACGAGCATATCCCGTAGCAAAGCTGCATCGAAGGTGTGATCATTACTATGCGACGAGGTCCAACGAGAGTTGCCGCACAAGCGCGTCACTTTACGATTGCAGAGATTTTGCGGTCACCTCGTGCCCAGATCCAGCAAGCACCCCAAGCCGACCAGTGACAATGACCTTTCCACTCGTTTGGCCGCAATCCTTGTCCTGCAAACTCGAATGCCGCGGGGTGGTTGTTCACGCCTGCATGTTTTTGAAATCAAGCCACATCGAATCAAATAGCAGTCGCGTCATGGGCAATCGTCTGGAGAAGGGAAGAAAGCCAAGAGAAAGCAACGTCGCTTCGTCAATTGACCGCACCGACCTCACATTTCGCACATGAATTTGATTTAAATACACTTAGCCGAGATGCTTCGTCGTGATGTGCTCGATCAAGAAGGCCAGCTTGGCGTCCATGGCTAGCATCTTGGCCTCCATGTCGTGGCAATGGCCGCACGGTGCACTGCGCGCAGCCAAAGCCATCGGACGCACCACCGGCTCGTCCACGTCGACCGAGGCGGCGTAGTGCTGGAGCTTGCGGATGAGCCGCGTGGCGCGCAGGTAGGTGATCCCTAGCGTCGCTGCCACGTCATCGGCGGTCCATACATCGCGGTGGGGCTCAAACGGCATGCGATTGGCGAGCCTCTTGAAGAGGTCCGGGCGTCGCAAGAGGTAGATCTTGATGACGTCGCGCACAACGAGGAAGAACTCGTCCACAAACGACCGCTTGCTAATACATCGCGACTCAGAGTCCACAAGAAGAGTGTCGTCAAGTACCCAAAGTTGACGGCGACAATTTCTTGGTGCGACGTGATGACGACGGCCAGCATGATGTTGACGAGCACCATGTAGACGATGGACTGGCTCGCCCAGAACCACACGATGGCGAGGTCGTTGACGTCTTTAATGAGCTCGTAGCTCAAGCCACCGTAGAGCATGTTGACGCACGTGACCATGGCCTTGTCGAGGCGGCTAAACTCGTCGAGTTGCGGGCCAAAGAGCAAGCACCCGGACGTGGCGAGCGAGAGGACGACAAGGCCAAATACAAAGAGGAACGATCCGAGCCGCTTGATGCTCGTCACAATAGTGTTGGTCAACACGTTCATCGTCGGGTGGAACTGAAACGCCGCCAAGACGCTACGATAGTGTCATTCGGTCGTTAGACACCCCTGTGACAAAGAAAGGAAAACGTCGTCGTACTGGATAGCGAGCTGGAGACAGGCGACAATCGAGACGACGTACACAATGTCGATTGCGCCGCCAAACGAGTCGAGGATGTCCGACACCTCCGGCTGCGGGTTGGACTCCATGCGGTGGCGCTGGTTGTCTTGACCGAGTCGAGTTGTCTCGTTCGCGTTGAGTGGCAGCGTGTACAAATCGTCATAAAACGAGTTGAGCGTCCGTAGCTGGGTCTCGAGGCCCGAGTTGAAGAATTTGGTGCAAATGCGAAACCATGCCGCATAGTAGAGCGCGACGCTAGCGATCGAGCACCACTCGATTAGCGCGATGCCGAGGCTGCACGACCACGGTATGTGGCCACGGATTTGACGCAGAAGCGCGGCGACGCGGCGACACAGCACATACAGCACGAGCAGCCACACGACAGCGTCGAGCGCAATGTGGAGGTGCGACGTCGCGTACGGGTTGGTCGGGATGCTCTGCACCTTGTAGCTCGGGTTGCAAGCGCCGCCTTCGTCGACTTCAATGCGAAAGCGCTGGTACGTAAAGAGGTCGAGCTGGCCGTTGTACGTCGTGATCGTGACGGCAAACTCGCGCGTCGTGATCGAGAGACCATAGTTGTTTTCCGCGCTCTCCTTGAGCCAGCGCTGCCAGCGCCCGTACGGGTCGGGATGCGCCACCGGAATGTGCAAGGTGTTCCACGGCACGAAGCGCATGTTGCGCCAGCTCAAAGGGCCCGGCGTGTCGATGGCGACCTCGACATCATAGTCATAGCATGGGCCAAAGTTGGCGGCAATGTCGCTTGCACTTTGGCAGTCGGTCGCGTTGGTGTTGAACGTCAAGAAGGTCGCGGCACCAACGAGCGCATGGTACGAGCTCACGCGGCCTCGAAGCTCGCGCGGCAAGGGCGAGCCTACATGTCATTTATCAAGTTGATATATCGCACGCGTCAACGTATGTAGTGTAGTACCGTTCATGGACGTGTTTGTAAAGAGCGCGGGCAGCACCGAGTTGTTGACCCAGCGAGGAATGTCGTCGAGCGACCGGATTTTCATAAAATTCACCACCTTCTGCGACTGCGCAACGTCCTAAAGTCCGAGGAGATATGTTACCAAAATAAGGATGGACACTATTGTCCTACCGACACCTTGGGGTTGAGCGTCATCGCGACACCGTGGTTGGCCATGTAGACCCGTTGGATCGGCGTGTGGGTCAGTACCATCGTGATAAAAGCCACAAAAAGCAACAGCGGCACGGGCAACGTCAGAAAATGACCTCGAAGCTGCTTGCGTGCCGTGAGCGCAATGCCAATCGTATGGACTCGAATGGACGCGCTCGCGTCGGCAGAGGTCGACTCGGAGCGCGGGGTCGCAGGCTCAAAGTAGTCGAGAGTCATTGGAGGCAGTCAATCGAAAAATGATCGTGTGCACGCCAAGACACACGCCGGCGATGTTGTGGACACGAAGCGTTGTCGGGCAAATCAGTTGGCAGAGGGTCATGGGCCCTCGAGAAGGCCGTTGAGAAGAAGGCCAGTTGCAATATAGTGACGTCCGAGTAGCCGAAACGAGGTAGAGCGACGCTTGTAGTGGCCACGAATCGTTTGTATCGCTGTCCAGTTTGCTGGATTGTTTTTGAGTTTGCAACTGCTTAAATAGGAGCCCACGCATTAGGCTGGAGGGCAGTAGGACATCGTGCGGTCGAAGAAATAAAATCGACTTGATGTCCACCATGGCGTACTATATGCGAAGCGGGTTAGGTGTCCATTGGTTCGACGCTATTCGAGCTCGCTCTTCTGTCCTGCTCATTGTCCTGCTCACTGCGTTTTGATCCGAGGAGGATTGGCAGCGCTCACTTAACGAGTATCCTTGTCGCGTCTTTGCTGCACGGCGTGCAGTGCTCTCTGTTGACTTTCCGTGCTGCGATGATCGAGGAAAGCAAAACTACACTTTAAGTCCACGCGCGATTGCCTCCATTGTATCGTCGAGTCGACAGAGCCATGCCTGGAGAGGTGTGTATGCGAGAGCCAGAGCGCACGGTCATGCTTGGCGTATAGCCTGTCATGGGAAGTGACCGCTTCGTTTCATCCGACGGAACTCCGGGGTCCATCACCCTCCGCACAATGGGTCTTATGCATTGACCCATCCGCTGCCTTCAAGTACAACTTGGTACCGTAGGTAGGAGGAGCACATGTCGTACGAAGAAACTCTGCTGCCTGGCGTATGTTTCACGGGGCAAAACACTCATAAAGCTCGGCGTTCTTAGTGTTGGTCCCGGTTGTTGTGGCTACATATGTATGAGTAATTTGATATTCCAGTGTACCGGACCAACAACAACATTGACTTATAACTTTTGTTTGCGCTGTTGCATCGATGCAGGACCTCCTGCAGACCCAACTCCCGTCGTCGGTCGCTACCTCTACCTCGCTGTTGCTGCCTCTAAAACCGATTGAACGCGCTTGCGTCTGGTATGACTGGTCTGGTATTGCCTTTGGCGTAAACGTATCAACAACCGAGTCTTTCGCACGACGCAAGCGTCCCGCTGCTGCGCTCGCGGTCAAGTCAGCTACAATTACAGGCTTGCCGGTCTGGTGCTTGGCTCACCTCGCCATGGAGCCATCGCTTGCCGTGTCGCTCAACGCTTTCCGCGATGGCCCTGGGCGTGCGCGCTGCCTTTCATCATGACCACGAACGCCCCTCGATTTTCGCCCCGGCCTGACTCGCGAGCGCACGAGGACGTCTATAGAATTGCATGTTCAGAACGCATTTCAACAGCGAACGTGGGATGCATGGAATTGGAACGTACCGATCAAGTATTGTGATGTGAGGAATCCGATGCAGAGCTCGGAGGCTGCTCAGCAACCTTCATGCACCTTTTGTCCAGACCATAAAGTCCTGCGCCACAGGAGGTGCAGGGCTCAAAGCATACTATACGTGGTGTCCCCTCCGATTATTGGCGTTGGGATCGGACCACCACTTTGTTGGTTCTTGGCAGAACGAACGGTTGCGGCGACTATGCTAGAGCTCTACCAACGTGTGTCTCATCCCTTGACGACAAAATAGAAAGGGACCAGGAATGGCGACGACGTCATGACGATCTTTGGCAGCTCGACAACGACAGCTCGAGCTTTATCAGCTCGAGCATTCTCTGTTCACTACTGCCACAAGCTGCGGGCTCCACTCGTGGAGGTCCAAGCACTCACCTTCGTCCACCTCCTCTTGAACGCAGGCCGAAATGGACTCGTGCGAACCGTCCAAGGACACTATTCGAGCAACAGACAATCTTTATGACGGTTTTAGACCACCTTGGCGGCCGACGCGTGGACATTGCCGTGGTCTTCCGCCCGCAGACTCTCTTCAATGTCGGCGGCGAAGAGCGCGGCGCCGACCGTGTTCGTAAACAAAAAAGGAAGCCGAAAAACGGAATCAGCTCGAGGTACATGCACTGCATACCAAACGACGCGTACTCGAGCTTGCGTGCGTCGACAATTGCCTTTTGGTCTTCGTACTTCATGCCGCGCATCTCAAAGTACAAGAGATGGTACTCCCAGGCCTTAAAGCGGCTGTTGAGGTACACGTACGCAATCGTGCCAATGATCGGGATAAAGTTGAGCGGAAACGTCACAATCAAAATGAAGATCTGCGAGAGGCAGCTCACTTTGCAGCACGCGCGGCACGCGCGCCCGCAGCCCGAGTGCGCCTCGCTGTTGTCGACAAGCTCGGTGAAGCCGCGCAGCTTGAGCGTCTTCTCAAAGATGGCATCCATGAAGCACGGCGTGCACGTTTGCGAGTAGATGAGCACGACGAGGAAGATCTCGAGCACGACGAGGAAGATGGCGAGGACCCACGCCCACGTCGCCGAGAGACCGGCCTCCTCAAGGCCGTACGCCTGCGGGTAGAGGCCAGCGCTGAAGAGCAGAACGACCGACACGATACCGACGATGATGGTCATGATCATCGGGCAGAGCGTTGTGAGCCAGAGACTCGGGTGCGTCAGAAAATACAGGATGCCCGCGACCGCGTAGTGGCTCATCCTGGGGGATGTCGGCGACAAAAGCAAAATGGGACCTGGTGCAAGTGACTGGCGCGTGATCAGATGCGTCGACTAGAATCACGCAACGTGGAATCCACACCAGATGGCCGATCCACATGTGGACGTGGGTACATTTTTATAGGCGAGAAATTCACCAAGCTGGTCAATCCAATTTCATTCTTCGTTGCCGGGTCTGTCTGGGGCTCTTGTGTCGTTTGGATTGACGTTTGGTACAAGCGGTGCTAAAATGATTGATTGGATTGAGGGCTTTGGTTTGCAAATTCGTCGCAGCAACACGGTGGAGCGACGGAGGCTGCGCGGTGCATGAACAGCAGTGCGGCATGCCATGGACCAACGCGAGTTGCTTCTTCATCCTTATCGGCATGGCCGTGGGACTATAGCGCAAAAGACCACGGGGACGATCTTGGTGAACGTGTTTTTTGGGTTCGCCGTTGCACTTTTTACTGGAAATAACGTTCGAAAAATTACTCTAGACCGTGTGCGGGTGGTAACACACCGTCCACAGCAAAGAAATCCATCGTCCTTGGGCCATGGACATGCCGGCGTGTCCTAGACAACCTTGAGGGGACTGCACTTGCCCTCCTTTGGAGCTGCTGCGGTGCGCCAACAAAACTCTTCTCGCAGTGGGTGGAGCCATCAGTATGTAGCTCATCGGTACATGTATAGCTCGCTGACTACATACAGGTATGCGTGCGCACCGTTCTCGTTCCGAGTCTAGAGTTGCGCCCTTGATACACCCAACAACAGTTTATGTAATAATACTTGTACCCTTGATAAACTGCGGTTGCTTTCATGATACATGTATGCTCAAAGGATGCTTAAAGTTGTGTAGCATCGAGATATTGGAGCGCATTGGCATCGTCGAGGACGAGCGCTCGGTACGCATGGCCCATGACATCGCGCGGGATGCTGTCGACGGCCACAAGGCGATGAAACTGCTTGGACGTTGGTATCTGTTTGCACGCATAGGCGTGGATGCTGCGAAGGGCGTCCGCCGAGTATGTTAGCGTGGCCGCGGCCAGCTTGACGTACGCAGCAAGGCGCTGGCCTTCACTGCATGTAACGACGGCGTCCTCGACAAGGGGATGCGAAGCGACGACTTCTTCAATTTCGAGTGCAGTTGTCGCTTCAGCTCCGAGCTTGAGAATGCCGTCTTTGGACCCGATGAGGTGCAGCTGCTGCGCTGCATCGACGTAGGCGAGAACGCCGAGACGTTGGCAGGCGTCTGCACCGACGCACATTTCACCGACCTGCTCATGACATACGTTCCATCGACGTTAGCTTGAAGCCAATCCAAGACGCACCTGCTTTGGTCCAAGGACTTCGTTCGTGGTCATGCTTTGGATGCGAAGGACGATCGACGAGGACACTGGCAGCCCGACCGAGTGCACGAGAGGAGCTGCAATCGGTAGCGGCATCGGGTCGGACGCCGTGTAGATGGTTGTGGGCCCGCAAAAGATGCGGCGGAAGCGCAGGAAGGGCTGAAACTTGCTGCTCACCGTGTAAAGGCTTCGAAGAGCGCGAGGAAGTGTCGGCACCGAAGTCCCAACACAGTCGACGACGTCGACGCAAGCAATGGCTTCGCCGACCTTGGTCAAATGCATCACGTGCACACTGCTCAGCACAAGACGTTTGGGCTACAAACACATGTCGTCAGCCAACGGCAAACTCGTACGCGCACCGTACGATGCCACGTCATATCTAAAATCTAAATATAGAATATCGAACCCACCTCGTGCAGCAAGAGTAACTTGGCGAGGACGGGCCCCGAGACACCAGTGGGTTCGAGAAGACAGAGACGGCTGCCTTGCACGAGCGCCGAAAGCGCGCCGACAAGCAGTCCCATCGGCGTTTGCACCGAGAGACAGAGCAGTGTCACACAATTTGTGGCGGTCACGTCAAGGCCCTCGATGACGTCCTTATGGCTCAGCTCCTGGACGCTCCACGCTTGTGCGATGGCGTCGTTAGTATGCAAAACGATCGCAATGTCCGAAGACAGGCAAGACGACCGCTACGCAGACCATGAGGTTTCCTGTTTGCCGATGCTTGCGCTGCGTACGCCATGAGTTGCCATCATCGACGGTTGTACCAAGTTCGTGTAACTAAAGTCCGCCTTGGCGATGTTATCTCGCAGGGAGATGACCTACGTCGTTCAAACGACGAAATCAAGACACTAGCGCAATGCGATTGTACCTTGATGGACGGAAGAAGGCCTTTGATGTGGACGCCCCCATCCATGTGGTCGACACAGGCGTACGTTGGGCGTAGTGCACTCGTTTGCGGCGGTAAAGCAAGTCGCCCCGACAGCCAAAACTCGACACGACCACCGACCATCCAAGCTGCGAGCACGAGACAGAGTGTGCTACACGTACTCAATGAGTACACGCCCGATCCATTGAGCCCATACCGCAGCGGTGACGCGCTCAGCACCAAAAGACTGTCATAGCAGCCAAAACCGATGCATTCGAGGCCATGTGCAAGCGCGCAAATGTGTGCCGCGATCTCACTCTGAGACGACAAGGTGACACCCGTGAGGCAGTCGGTGACCGACACTTGAGGATGTTCCTGCAGCATTTGCAAGACATGGGCGGTCACGTGCAAATCAGCTGCGGTCGGCTCGTCGACATCTTGTACTTTGACCGACGAAGCGTCAGGTGCCAAGGCCTCTGCGTCTGCAGGAAATGAAGGCATCGCTGTATCTTCGCCTCCTGGATGACGCTGTGGCTCACAGAACTCGGACGCATCGCGTCGCAATGACAACTTCGGTTCTGACGCTGCGGGCGAGGCAGGAACAATTGTCTCTTCCAGCGGTTTGACAAGATCTGTTGGACCAAGTTCCGGGGATTCGGTCACAAGTGGGGTAGTTGGTGACGTCATCCACGCCGATGCGAGGGTGGATGCTGCCTCGGAAAGCTGATTTGCGGCACCACCGTTCTCGCCCTCTTTGGGCTGTGGCGAAGTCGTCGTCGTCGTCGTTTCGTGCAAACTATTGGAAGAGCCCAACACTTCTGATGAGCGCCGAGACGACTCGAAGTGTCGCGGCGAGTCGTCATCTCTCTCGCTGCATACATCGTCGACAGGTTGAGATCCTTCGCCGTCCGAGAGACACAAGAGGTGGTCCAGTTCGGCGCTCTCCATCGTTGACGATGGCGCGTCGCTGACCACACTAGGCGACCGTGTTTCCTAGTGTCCTCGCATGTAGAGCATTTGCTTGTGGCGAGGAATGCGTGTACCTCTTCCATCTTGTCGTGGTGGGCTTGCGTGATGGCGCGCTACGTCATCGTGACAAACGAACGACTGAGTTTTGCATCGCACCAGGAAGGCTGCGAGCTTGGCATCAACACGCGCCTCCATGTCGCGCTGCCATGTCGCTAGCGTACTATGTCGCATGTGAGGCCCTCGTTCTGCAGACGCGCATGGTCGAACGCCTCCAAGGTCGCGTGCAGGTGCTCTTGATCGCGGGCTTGTACTTGACGCATCGTCGCGCGCTCGGCCTCAAATTCATTTTGGACCACGGCCATGCACTTGACGAGCTGCTCTGCAAATGCAATCTACACAACTGCGCGCATCCTCGTCGTCATCGCGTCGCCATCTGCGTACCTCAAGTTCCTTCGTGAGCACCGCAACATCAATGTCGCTGGGCGATGTCACGGCCATCGGATCCTCGCACACCACCGATTTCTGTCCGAAACGTCGGTCGTCGAAACGCTCCCTGCCTGTCTGTTGCCTTGCTAGACGGACGCCACGTAACTGATGCGAGCGTTTCAACGCGACCACCCTCGAGCATTTGAACCAATCCCATGACGATATTTCAGTATTAAATTCCATTTTGACCAATCAAACGTCCGCATCGACTCTGCCGTCAACGCCAGTGAAAATGAAATGGCAATCTGAATTCCGCCGACGCCATTGACCATGTCTGCGGAGCGTACCTTCTGCGACGAGCTTGAAGAGGACTTGACGGTCGTCGCCAACGAGAGCGAACAGGCCTCGGACATCCTCAAGGGCGATGCGCTCCTTACCTCGATGCGGTCGTCGCTCGTCGGGCACTGGGCGCCGGTCGACACGCCGTATGGGCCCAAGCCGCTCGTGTACGCCGACTTTACGGCCAGCGGCCGGTCGCTGGCGTGCATTGAAGACTACATGCAAGCCGAGGTGCTGCCGCTCTACGGCAACACGCACACGACAACGTCCATTACCGGCCTCCAGTCGACGTGCTTTCGCCACGAGACGCGCCAAATCGTCGCGCAGTGCGTCAACGCCAAGATCACGGGCCGCGGCGCCGAAGACGTCGTGCTCTTTACGGGCAGCGGCAGCACCGCCGCGATCAACAAGCTCGTGCAACTGCTTGGGCTGCACGTCCCGTTGCGCAGCGACCAGGCACGGCCGGTCGTGTTTGTCGGGCCGTTCGAGCACCACTCCAACTTGTTGCCGTGGCGCGAGTCGGCGGCCGACGTGGTGCAAATTCCCGAAAACGCAGCCGGGCATGTCGACATAGACGTGCTCGCGGCCAAGCTTCTCGAGTTTGCCGATCGGCCGCTCAAGATCGGGTCGTTCTCGGCCGCGTCCAACCTCACGGGCCAGCTCTCGGACGTCGACGCGATCACGGTGCTCCTGCACATGCACGGCGCGCTTGCGTTTTGGGACTATGCGGCCTGCGCGCCGTACGTGAGCATGGGCATGAACCCCGTGCTTGCCGGCGACCAGCGTCCGTTTGCGTACAAGGACGGCCTCTTCTTCTCGGGCCACAAGTTCCTCGGCGGCCCGGGCTCGCCCGGCGTGCTCGTGCTCAAGAAGCGCCTCTTGGGCAACCCGGTGCCGTCGGCGCCCGGTGGCGGCACGGTCTTTTACGTCACCGAAGACGACCACCGGTATCTCTCGAACCGAGCCGAGCGCGAAGAAGGCGGGACACCCGACACACTTGGCTCGATCCGTCTCGGGCTGGCGCTCGAGGTCAAGCACCGCATTGGTCTCCCGTTGATTCACGCCCGCGAAGTTGCCAACGTCCAGCGCGTTGTGTCGGCACTGTCGCGGCACCCGAACATCGTCTTGCTCGGTCACGATGACGTGGCACCGTCGCGGCTGCCCATCTTTTCCTTCCTCATGACGGCCGGAGACCGATTCTTGCATTACAACTTTGTCTGTGCGCTTTTGAACGACCTCTTTGGCGTCCAGTCGCGCGGCGGGTGTCAGTGCGCGGGTCCGTACGGCCAGCGCCTCCTCGGTGTCTCCAAGGAACATCAGCGGGCGCTCGAAGCCGCGCTCATCGACAAGACCGAGGTGCTCCGTCCGGGCTTCTCGCGCGTGAGCTTCCCGTTCATTCTGAGCGACGCCGACGTCGACTACATCCTCAACGCGATGGCGTTTGTCGCGACGCATGGCTGGAAGTTTCTGCCGCAATACAAGTTCAACCACAAGACGGGCGAGTGGAAGCACAAGACGCGCTTCACCAAGTTTCCCAACCGCAAGTGGCTCTCGAAAGCCCCTTTTCTCTCGGGCGTCTCGACGCAGACGCCGCCGACCGCCACCGTGCCGTCGACCGACGCGCTATTTGCCGAGGCCGAGCGCCTCGCAGGCCTCGCGCCCACGGAAGCCAGCGGTACGGCGGCAAGCCACGGGAACATGCTCGACCCGTCCAAGGAGTCGCTCCGGTGGTTCGTGTATCCGTCCGAAGTGCTGAGCGCGCTCGCGTCACGCAGCGAGCTGCCGTCGCGGGCGTCGCCCTTGGGTCCGCTGCAGCCGCAAGCATACCGCGCACGCGCACACTTGGTGTCCAAGCCCGAGACGGCGCCGGCCGCGACACCGAGCTGTGCGACGGGCGCCTGTTTTGTGTGCCCGGTCGCGCCCAAGACGGAGAAGTACCCGCGCCGCAGCAACAACAATACGACCGACTCGAACCCGCATGAAAGCCTCGCGTCGACGATCGCGGCGACGGGTAAAATTGCCGACCAGGTCGCAAAGACAACGCTGTTTCCCAAGCCGCCGCAGAAGGTCATGCGCCTCGTGGGCCAAGCGCTCATGCAATGGGGCATGATCAACGACGGCGACCGGCTCATCCTTGGTGTCTCGGGCGGCAAAGACTCGCTGAGCTTGTTGCACATTTTGCTGACGCTCCAGAAGCGCGCGCCGATTCGGTTTGAACTCGCGTGCGCGACCGTGGACCCGCAAACACCGTCGTTCGACCCGAGTCCGCTCAAGGCGTACATGAAGGCGCTCAACGTGCCGTACTTTTACCTCTCGGAAAACATTGTCGAGCGCGCCATGTGTGAAATGAACGGCGACTCGCTCTGCGCGTACTGCTCCCGCATGAAGCGCGGGCTCCTCTACACGTGCTGCCGCAAGAACGGCTACAACAAGCTCGTGCTCGCGCAGCACCTCGACGATCTCGCCGAGTCGTTCTTCATGTCGGCCATGTACAACGGCCAAGTGCGCACGATGAAGGCCAAGTACTGGAACGACATGAAGGACGTCGAGATTATTCGCCCGCTGGCGTACGTGCGCGAAGAGGCGCTGAAAGACTTTGCGTACGCCGCGCGCCTCCCGGTCATCAACGAGAACTGCCCCGCGTGCTTTGAAGAACCCAAGGAGCGCGAGCGCGTCAAGAAGATGCTCTTCAAGGAGGAGAGTCTCAACCCTGAAATGTACAACAGCTTCCGCCGCGCGCTGTTGCCGCTCATGGACAATGACGTGTACCCCGTTATGAACGACGTTCGCGCCCGCATCGACTCGCAGAAGAAGGTCAAGAGCAACGTTGTCAAGTCGACCAAAGCGATCGCCAAAGAGCAAGCGGTCGCTGCCGCCGAGCCCAAGCCCGAGCCGTCGGCCGACCCCAACTAAACCACACGACGTAACCATCTTTTTCATGTGTCATTACACGCCGTAAGTGTGGCGCAGCATGAGTCGTCGCCTACCGATAGCGTAAAGGTGTAAGGGGCCCGATAGCGAATGACTTGTGTCGTCAAGCGCGCTCCTGACGAGGGACCTCGATGCAGATCCAAGAAGGCTTGCTTGATGTTGGCTTGGTTTAGTCGTATCGAGCGATTCGATTGGCTATGCCCCACGACTCTACACGAACTGGATTGGCTGAATGAAATCGACGCCCACCCTCATTGGCGGAGCTCATTGGCTGATTTTTGCGATCGTCAAGCGTCGACAGGCGGACATTAAGATCGCCAGATTCGTTCGTGCCTATTCCCATCCATGCCTTGGACCTACGGGGTACCGGTAGGACGCCCATACATGCCTTGGACCAACGAGGTAGGATGCCCGCAGAAAAGTCGACGATAGCTCAAGGTCGTATGTCTCGTAGGGAGATCTACGTGTTGCTGTCTGTCGTGGCGACGCGGCGAGCGTCACGGCGCTGCTCGCCACCGGTGCGAAATGCGATGGCATCAACCGCGTACGTCCTCCAATCCCCGAACGGACGACACGTCGACTCACAGCACTGCTGCGTAGCTGGGTCAAACGCCGCTGCACGAAGCAGCCGCCAAAGGCCACGTCGAGATCGTTCGTCTGCTTCTGCAGCACTACCCAAGTGGTATCGCTGCCCGGGATGCCGTGGTAGACATCGGTGCGGGTCCCTTTTCTCTCATGAACGCCCGCATAGCTCGGGGATACGCCGCTGCACTACGCCACGTTTTACAGGCAAATAAGGGTCGTCCAAGTGCTTCTCGAAGCCGACGCCTCGGTGCTGGTGCATGATCCGGTACGCATTCGTTTGGACGAGTTGGCACGACGCTAACGCCGACGCGTCAGAAAACTGCGTCTGCCCTCGCGTACGCCGAGCGCTATGGCGTGCATGCCGTGGTTCCGTTATTGCAGAGCCGATTGCGCCAGGAAACCGAGAAGGTACAGAAATCATTGAACTGCTCTGCTATCGACGCACAATGCATGCAATAGCTCTTTGCCGCAGTGCGTAAAGGAAAGCTATCCAAAGTCCGCGCCTTGCTCGCCCAAGGGCTCGACCCCAACCTCTGTGACGACGTACAGCGTGCTCTACATCTCGGATGATAACGTGATTTGTGTTTTTCTAGACCCACGGGTCGTTGCTCCAAGCAATTATCGACAGCGCCAACATGAAGCTGGTCCGCGCCATCCTGGCGCTGCCTACTATCCAGTATGACGTCCTTGACAAGGTGTGCACCTCCATCAGCACATGGATACCATGGATACTGGTTTATCTGGCCCTCGAGTGTAGGCGCATCGACAAGCCACGCGCACGGAGATTGTTCAAGCCCTTGCGGAGGCAAAGCAGCGAGTCAATCCGCCACGTTTGCAATCCAGACGTCAACGAGCTCCTATGTCGACCACCGCTGCTTCATCGGCCGACAGACTCGCCGCTGTGATCGCATCGGCCCGCTGGCTCCAAACCACAGTCGCAGAGGTACCCGCGGCTCGAACGACGGTCTCGCAAAGTCGTAATCGTTGGCGTATAGCAACAGTTGTGCAACGCAGCGAGAGACGGCGACTTGAGTGCCGTCGACGCGAGTCTAGAACGCGACATCAACACCTCCTGCCAAGACGCCTTGGTAGGGCCCATGACTTACCTCCCATGCGCTCGATCATCGGTCTAGTTTGGTCGAACGCCGCTGCACTGGGCGTGTATGAGGGGTCATGGCGACATCGCCGCGCGCCTCGTTGCTGCCAAGGTCGGTGTCAACGCGCGCGACAATGTATTACTCGCGATGGTATGTCTCCTAGCTGATGCTTGCGTAGCTGCAGGCGACACCGCTCCACTACGCGGCTCGCTACGGCCACTCTGCCGCTGCGCACGTGCTCTTACGCGCTCACGCCGAAACGAGGACCACGGACGCGGTGCGTTCACAGCTTGTCCTCTAGTTTCACGTCACGTGGTGTGTAGCACGGCAAAACAGCGCTGGAACTGGCTGTCGACGGCAACGACGCTCGCACGACGCATCTATTATGTGCGTGCCCGTAGTACATGGCAGACGATGGCGAGGTGCTCTATCTTCTCAATACTGTACGCCTCCATGGACAAGATGTCGTGTGCTGTTGTCAACGCCACAAGAGCCTTTGGACAGTGCCAATCTCTTTCCAGCCTTTTTCCATCGCTTTGCTTTCGCTTTGCTGTGCTACCAAGGCCATCAACTTAACTTTTAGCCTTGGTACTACTACGATCTTTTTGCTCGCGAGCGAGACCGCGGAAGGCAGTCTTGATTCGTGCCACGCATATCCGGATACCGTCGCACTGGGGGGATTTTGATTGGTGGATTCAACAAAATCAGGTAGCGTGATTGGCTTTCCCAATTGGGTCTCTCACGCGGCACAGCATGTATGCGCAGAAAGAAGATAACACATTCGTCATTGATCGCGTTTCAATCGGAATACTTGCAAGTGCGTAGTATATAGAGCTGGCGAAGATCCAGTCTCACGATTCTTTAGAGGCGACGATCCCTCACAACACCTGGTGGATTAAAAATATCAAGTGCACTATCAAGTGCACTATCGAGCTCACACCCCCTAGTGCAGTGTATCGATGATGAGCCCTGCGCATTTCCAAATTGTCTCGGTCTTGCTCATGTCCAACGAGGTGGCTGCAAGAATCCGACACGAGTGCTCACGATGGGTTTATCGTACGTAGGGACAGCTCCTTGTCGCAGTACGTCGTGGCGACGAGGCCAGCGTCATGACGCTGCTGGAAGAAGGCGTCGCCTGTGTCACCGTCAACAAGGCACCCTACTACCTTGAACCAGCGTAGGTAGACTCACAGCACTAGCGTAGTGGGGTCAAACGCTGCTGCACGAAGCGGCCGCCAAAGGCCACGTTGAGATCGTTCGTCTGCTTCTGCAGCACCTTCCGACGATCCCCTTTCGGCACTTGCGCGTGGCCGTTGGTATCAACGCCAAAGATGCGGTGGTAATGCCCTCCATCGCAATCATTGCTGACGACTATTGCCTAGCTCGGGGACACGCCGCTGCACTACGCCGTGTACTACAAGCACGCGGCGGTCGTCGAGCTGCTTCTGGACGCGCACGCCTCGGTGGTCATCGCAAATAACGTACGACACTATTGTCATCGATAGTTTCCATCTGACACCATCGCACTGGAAAAAGAGACGGCGATCGCGTACGCCAAGCGCTACGGCGCGCACGAGATTACGCCGCTTTTGCTGGACCGCTTGCCGTGGGAGCCGCCGGCGACGACGCCCGCCGAGCCAGCTTAAAATTTAGTTTGTAAAATGAATGTCCACACAAGAATAATACAGTGTAATAAAATGACGATCAAAATGAATACGGGTCGTGTCGAGCCGACTCACAGTATGTCCTTGGACGACGATATCGCGAATCGACCTGACTACAAGTAGGACCATTTGGCAACTCGGAGTCGTCTTTAAAAGCAATGGAAATCGCCGGTCAACCTTTGAAAATCCAAAACAAATGCCAAAATGGACGCACCTCCTTTGCTCGACTTGCCGGGCACATCGCTGTACGCGGATTGCACGAGAAAGCAAAAGACTGGATCATCAAAAAGTCGATGCCACGAGGGTCTCGCACCATGTCGCGCGACCTTGTATGACAACCACGCTCCTCCAGCTGATCAAGAGATTGTTCTAGACCTCTGGGAAAGGCGTTTTCTGATTGCACTCGGTTGTCTGGATCATAATGTACCGGTACTCCCCTTGTCCACTCTCGTGTCGTGCCTCGCGTACCTCAGCAAGCTGCAACCTTGCATTTTTCCAGACTGATTTCAAGACTTAAAGTCCAAGTACGTCGACGTCGTAGCACTGGAGCGCCATCCATCGCATCCAAGGGAAAAGGCCAATTCCCTCGCCCGCATCGCACCAGTCGTCGTCTCCGTGCGTTCGATGATCGTTGGCCACGAAAACAATGCAAGGTGATGAAAAGCATGTATTCCATTCATTCCTTTTGACCGCAGTTGTTATTACGCCACAATCTGGTGCTGGCTCGCCCAGGACGGCGTCAGGAAGAGCAGTGGCGCCAACGAGTCGTCCCCAGTCGCCAACGCCGTGAGTGCTTGGCACAAGAGCCGTGAGTGCTTGGCACAAGAGCGGGTGCATGTTGTGCGTCTCGGTCCCGAGCACCTTGTGCGCGATCGCTTGCAACGCGCCATGCGCCTCGTTCGTTGCGTGCACTTGGGCAATCGCGACAACCACCGCGTTATGGAAGAGCGGGAAGACGTCCGGAAAGAAAGTCGTGCCGCCGACCCACGCCTGCTGGTGCAGCGCGTTCGCGGCCGCCCAGCGGACGAGACACGCTTCGAGATCGGACAAGAGCGTCGGGAGACGGACCTTGCCCGTGCGCACGAAATGCTGCGCAAAGAGCTGCACGAGCAGCTCCGGCTCCTTGAAGTAGTTGCCGCTCTCGGCCTCGAAAATCTTGTCGCAGAGCACATTGTACGCATGGCCGTCGGACGCACTGATGCACTCGTCGAGGCGCGGGAAGAGGGCCGTGTACGTCGTCAAGTAGCTACCCACCGCTTCTTGGAGACGATCGACGTGGCCAAAGGTTTGCGCCAAGTAGGCGACTGCGTACGGAAGCACCATCATGTCGGACGGCGCGGCGTGGACCGACGTGACCAGTGGCGCGACCGTCGCGCGAATCGCTTCGCGCACGCACGCTTCGTCGTCCTGGAGCAAGACGAGCGCTGCGAGCCAGCCGTCGACGACCACGTGGACGTTCGAGCGCTGCGCCAAAAGCGTGCTCAGATGCAAGCTGCGGGCCGCCGCCAAGCGGACAACCAGCGGCTGCAGCTCGTCGCTGAGCACTTGAATTTGACCGACGAGCGTCTCGGCAAGGGCCGGCGGCGCCGACCCATTCGCATTCGCATGCAAGAGCGCAAGCACCTGGAGCGCGGCGGCCTTGGACGTCGCGTCGACGGCGTGGACACTGAGCTTGAGCAAGGTGGGCAGCGCGGGCGACACGGTCGCCCAGACGTCCCCCGACGACGGCGCGAGCGTCACGAGCAGTTGCAACTGGCGGCCGAGCGTCGGCGGGTGGGTCTCGACGACGACTTGCGCGGCCAGCGTCGCGACGAGGGTCAGTGGCGCCGTCGCAGTCGCATGATGGGCCGCACACGCAGTCGTCGTCGACCGCCGGAGCTCAAACACGGAGCTACGGAGACCGGCGCGCAGCACGTCGGCGTGCACCGGGTGGGCGACAACGTAGTCGACGACAAACGCAGCCACCGCTTGGTGCACGATATCGAGGCCGGGGCTCCGGTGGCGGGGCGCCTCGTCCTTGTACAGCATGAGACACGCGTCCCACATGCTCTGCGTCAGCGTTGCGTCCGACGCATGCTGCAAGACGCGCGAGACGAGCTGCAAGAACGTGCCCTTCGTGGTCATGCACTTAAGGGCGAGCGCCGACGGCAGCAACGCAGTGCACGCGTGCACAATGGGCGCCAGCAACGATGCGAACGCCGAGGCTGACAAGAGCTTCTTGCCCGTGTCGTCGGCCGCACGGTCGACGAGCGAAAGCAGCTGCAGCAACGTGCCGTGCATCGCATTGTGCGAGATGCGGCGCGGCATCCACTGCGACAGCGACGGCAGAAGCGATACAACCACATCGGCAATGTCCTGTGTCCGCACGATCGCGGCCAAGGCGTACGCGGCAATGCGTCGGTGAAAGATGTGGGATTGCGACGCGCAGGCCGTCACCATCGGCACAAATGTCGAGAGCGGGAGGACGCTCGTGGTCGAACCGTCGCCCGGGCGGAGGCGGCTCATCAAGAGCAAGAGTGGGTACAGCGCCGAGGGGGTCATCGCACCCACGTGCTCGGCCAAGAACGAGTCGACGCCGGCGCAGCGTGAAAACACGTCGGTCGACGAGACGCCGTTGGTCGCCGCGCCGTCGGCCACCTGCTTGTCGCCAATCGCGCGCTGGGTCGCTGCCGCAAAGAGCATCATCGACGAGTTCCGGACCGCCCACGACGTGCTCTCGAAGCCATCGATCGCGAGGCGGAGCATATCGGGCACGTGCGCGGCCATGTCTTCGGCGAGGACGGCGTCTTGCGCGAGGAGCTTGAGAATGTTGAGCGCATGCACACGCGACTTGTCGATCGCGTTGACGCGGCTCCCGAGACGGAGGAGCACGCCGAGCACCTTGGGCAGCATCGTCGCAGCCGCGTTGCGGGGCTCGGACCGAAGGAGCGCGACAAACGAGCTCGCAAAGCCCGCGGACCGGCGCAAAATGAACTGCTGCTCGGCGTGCTCGAGGCGCGCCAGGAGCGTGTCGCACCACTTGGCCGGCCACGTGCCGAGGTGCCGGTGGCGTTCACTGTGGTGCAAGAGCGACCGGCAAATGCCCTCGAACGCCACCGAGACGGTCGCGACCGCACCGCCGTGTTTTAGCTCAAAGAGCGCGTTCAGCAACGTCGCGCCGGCCTTGTGCAACGACGTGAGGAGCGCGTCGTCGGCGACTGTCGCAAGCGGCAGCGCCAGCCGCACAAGCGTGTCCATGGCAGCGCCGGCTTCGCGCGCGGCGAGCCAGCTCCCGACAACCGCGCGCTGCTCCGTGTCCGGGTCCGTGTCGTCTTCGTCCAAAGCGACATGGCCACGCGAGTCGACGGCCTTGGCGCGCAGCTGCTCGGACGTGAGCACTTCGTTCGCCACGTCAAACGTATCGTCGAGCGACGCCGCGCCAATGCCGGACGTGGCATCACCGACGACGCTCAGAGCGAGTTGCATGCTCTCCCAGAGGCATTCGAACGTCGAGGCGAGGGTCGTCTGCCACGTCGGCAGCGTCACCGTCGCGTCGTCCAGCAAGAACCGGATCGAAAGCAAGAGGCCGTGGATGAGCGGCGGCTCCGACACATCCGCGTTAGCGCGCACCACCGCGAGACGCGAGGCCAAAGTGCCCACGAGATGGTCGACCATGGCTTGTTGCGCCGACGCGCCAACGATCTTCGACGAGGGCACAATCCCAAACTGCACCAAAAGCGCACTTTGCTTGGCCAAGAGTCGGAGGAAGAGCGCACCGGCGTCCGTCTCGCGCTGGCGCGGGCTGCTGGCGAGCGTGAGCGCCCAGCGGTAGAGCGACTGGAGGTTCACTGCGTCGTCGTAGCCGGGCAGTGGCGACGGAAACGTCTCGAGAATCGAGTACGCGAGCGCACGCACCTTGTCCCACGAGCTAATGAGTGCGTTGAAGAGCGCCTTCGTGACCGCCGGAAACAGAAACGGCGTGCCATCAAAGATCTGCAAATACAGCTGGAGAATCTCGAGACCCATCGTGACCCGCTGCGGCGTTGCGCCAGGGTAGACACACGCGACGACGAGGTCTGCGACCCACTGCGGAAACTGCAGCGCGACGTCGTCAGTGGTCGCGGCCTCCCGACGGCAGCTCTTGCGCATGCCATCGCGGATCCGGAGCAGCATCGCCTTGAGGCCAATGATCGACTTCATGCGGAGCGACGGTGCAATCGACTTGGCACTCGCAATGAAAAGAGCTGCACGAGTTGCAGGTCCGACGGCGAAGGCAGCGCCGTCGTCTTGAGGCTCGAACACACCATGTCGTACGCGGCCATGCGAATCTCGCCGTCCGCGTGCACGAGGCCGACGTGGACTTCGTCGAGCGTCAACGTCGGCGGTGACGCCACCGACTTGCGCGCGCACTTGACAAGCTCCAGCATCGACCAGAGCTGCGTGTCGGACGCTACCCAATACACACGATCAGAAGACGGCGATGACAACGAAGAAGTAAGTACCTGGCTGCGCGCGCAGAGCAGCAAGGAGCGGCGGCACGCTGGACGCGTCCGTCTTGATCAAGATCGGAAGCACATACGTGGCCACGCGGAGGCGGCTGCCAGCGTCGCTCGACAAGAGTGCGTTCACAAGGTAGGGAACCCACATGGCGGCCCACGCCGCCGCATCCGTCGTCGTGCGCCGGAGGTCGTCGACGACTTGGACAAAAGACCGCAGCGGCGGCCGAGACGTCCTTGTTCGCCACAGCCACGAGCACCGACGCAAGAAAGCCGTCGTGGGCTGCGAGGAGACCGGTCGCCGTCACCTTGGGGAGGAGGACGGTCGTCGCGAGGTACCGCGACCGACTCTCTTCCGGTTGCGCCAAGACCCGCGCGAGAATCGCACTCCACTTGTTCTTCGTGTCGCTGGACGCCTTGAGGTCGAGGAGCGCAACGAGATGCGTGAACAGCGGCGTCATGAATTGATTGATGCGCTTGGACGGGTGCTCCCAGTTGAGCAAAACGACGTCGAGGACGTTGAGGACCGAGGTCGGCGTGAGCACATCCGAGTGCGTGCGCTGCGCGAGCGCGATCGTCCGCCGAAGGAACATTTCGAGCACTTGGAACGCATAGAGGCGCGTGTTGAGCGTCGGCGCCCCGACACACGAGCGCAGCACCGTGTCAAAGGCCACCTGGAGGACATTCGACGACTGGAACGGGCGTTGGAAGGCCGCATCGTCGATCGCATTCAAGAGCCCGCGGTACAAGGCGAGGCGCGACACCGGCGTGAACGCAAAGAGGTCGAGGCACGGGAGCCAGCCGACGACACTCGGAGACGACGGGAAGACCCACGCGAGCATGTCGCCGGCGAAATCATTGCCGTTATAGTGCAGCTTGAGGAGGAGCGCGGTGACGAGACCCACTTGGGTGAGGAGGTCCTTGGCGACAACCGGCGAGTTGAGCACGGTGACGCACTGCAGCACCATGGCCTCGAGCGTCGCATGCAGCGAGCGCGGCGACCCGATCGTCGTCGTTGTCGACAAGAGCACGACACGCGTCGCGGTCTTTTGCTGCACGGACGAGAGCAGGATGAGCGTCTTGAGGAGATTCTGGCAGCGCTCCGAGGCGTGGATGACCTCGGACGACTGCATGACGTCGTCGTCGTCATCGTTGCTGTCATTGGTCGTCGTCGCTGCGTAGGCCCCAATCGGCGCCGAGAGCACACGCAGCTGCGTGGCGCAAAACGCGAGCAGCGACGAGAGACCCGGGTGCCCGAGCGGGTGCAGCAGCCAGAGCATCTCGGCAATGTGCGGGCACTCGGCGAGGCCGAGGAGCTGGTCGACCACGTCGAGCGCGTCCGACGTCGCGTGCGCATCGGTGGCGGTCGCGACCTGGAGGAACGACTCGACTTCGTCGGCGAGAACATCCGAGAGCGACGGCGACGCGAGGTGCGGAAACGCCGCGTCGTACGAGAGCAGCGCATCGAGAATCGGGAGGATCGTCTTGCGCATGAGCCGCAGCGGCTTGGCAATGTACAGGCGAAAGGCGAAGCGCAGCGCAGTCGACGCAAACGACCAGAGGTGGGCTTGGGCGGCGGCGTCGAGCTCGCGGATCGCGGGCGCCGCGGCGACGACGAGCTTGAGGTGCGACCGGAAGAGCTGCAGCGCCTTGAGCTGCGCATACGAGTCGGGCGCGTGGAGCAGGTTGTGCGTCAGCGACGCGAGGTCGAGGTCCAGCGTCGCGTTGGCACCGGTCGGGAGCGAGACGGCGGTAGGCGATGGCAGCAGGATCGAGCGAATGTCGGCGGGCAGCGGCGCGTCGGCGGTCGCGAGGCCATTGGCCTTGACGAGCGTGTTCAGCGACTTCTTCTTCTTGCGCACCATGGCGTTGTGAGCTTGCCGTTGCAAGCACGACGCTGATTGGTCGAAACAATTGGCTGAAAAGCCACCACTCTATTGGCATCGGTTTCGCGATCTTTCAGTTTGAGTTTGGAGATTCAGTCGTCTCCTGAGACGATGAACGCGGCAGGGAAGGGGCGAGCCACGCATGGCCGCGATGGTGCGCGTCGAGAATTGCTGGGTGCGTCTATCCATCACGGTGTATGTGACCACGCAAATGCTTTGCGCAATGCGGCGAGCGCCAACACACGCAACTCAACGCGTGTTGTTTAAGAACCTGCCGTGGACCGGGTCGCAACAAAGGCATCACATAAGTACATCGAGAAGCCCAGCGGCCGACGATGCTGGCGCCCCGCAGCAAGCCATGCGCACCCTGCAAACCGATTCCAGTTCCAAACGGTTTGGTCATGCGGTTTGGCGGGTACCCGTCCTCTGTAACCGTCTCGAACCGGTTACGCACGCCGGTTTTTCTTGCATTCGGCATATGCCACGTTGCACTAGATACGGCGAAGGGGCGCCAGCCTTCTTGGCGCAGTCGAGCAATCATGCCCTTTGGCACAGCGCTACGGTCGCCACCGGGCTCGGAGCGGGACTTTGCCGCTGGTGCCTACGAGTACGAGCCTGAGCTGCCGCGGCCAAGCAAGCGGACGTCGGCCAAGGCGCCGCCCATCGCGACGAGCACGACCGCGCTCATTACCAAGATCCGCAAGCAGGCCAAAGAGCTCAGCGAGCTCCACGAGGAGCTTGCAACCAAGGACAAGCTCATCGAGAAGCTGCGTAGCGCCAAAATGAGCGGGCAGGTCATCGTGCAAGGTGAGCGCCAGCGAATCAAGTCGAAGGAGGCCGAGGCCGACGAGTGGAAGCTCAAGTTTGAGCGAGAGCAGAAGCGATGCGAAGCCGCACTACGGCGCATCAAGGATCTCAAAGCCACACTCAACAACTCTTCGTCCTCGCCTGCGACGCCGGCGTCGCCGGTCTGCTTTGTGCGTAGGAGGGCACATCGTCGCTGATGGTCGCGTAGGCCAAGTCGATGGCCTCCGAGGCCTCGGACGATCCGGAGCAGCGCAATTACATTCGGATCCTCGAAGACGCAGTGCGCGTCAAGGCCGACGAGCTTCACATTAGCGGCCACGCCGAGCTGCTCCTCGTGCTCGCGGAGCTTCGGCAAACAACGTCGACCCAAGCCGAAGCGCTCTTGCTCAAGGATGCCCGTATTAGTGAGCTCGAACGCACGCTATCGGTACCAGCGTCCAGCGGCCACCTCTTCTTATGATGAAACGTGCACTAGAGCCCAGAGGCCGCCTCCACGCAGCAAAGCGACGCGATCATCGACTATGCGCACTCGCTCTCGGACAAGCACAAGACCATGGCCTCCCACGTACTTCCATCCTACTACTGTCATTTGGGAGGTTGCGATCCTGGAGAATGTAGACCAACGAGCTCAGCGAGCAAGTGCAGAAGCTGCGCGAGGACCTCGCCGCGTCCCAAGCCGAGCTGCGCAAGGTCGCCGACCAGTACAATGCACTCTTGACCGACTACGACGCGACACAAGACGCCTTGGCCGCGGCCAAAAATGCGCGCTCCGCGATGGAGCAAATGCAAAAGAAAAAGAAGCGCGGCTGGCGGAGCTTGAAGCCGCGGCCAACGGCCAAGCAAGTACCGTACACGAACTCAAGGCACTCCAAGACGATCTGCTCCAAAGCATCAGCGAAGCCCAGACGCGCGAACGCAGCGCGCAGCAGTCGTTGCACGATCTCCGCGCGGAGCTCCAGTCGGCCCTTGCCGCCAGAGACGACACCGACCGTCGCAGTGCTCGGGTGCACGAGAGTGTTGCCTACCTGGAACAAGACAACGCCACGCTCCGAGACGAAGTGGCCGCGCTGCGCCAGTCGTACCAGACGCTCCAAGCTGCCAAGGTCTCTCGTCCATGCTACCGATAGGTACTGCAATGGGAGCGTGGTGTAGACGGCGCTGCAGACCGAGCTGGACGAAATGCGTGCATTTGAAGCGTCGTTTGGTGATCTCTCGGCCGTGCGCAAGGGGTACGCTGATGTCACCGAGGCCGCGCGCAAGCTCCGCAGTGATCTGCACACGATTGACCAGTTTGTGGCGCACGCGACACGGCGTCGTGACGACGACGCGTCGTCGTCGAGCAGCCACGGCGCCTTTCTCGAGTGGTTTCTCGTTGGGGATCTTGTTGGCCGCGTGTCGCTCCTGGAACAACGCCGCTTGCCGCCACCCTTTCTCGAGCGCCTGCCCAAGCTCGCGGCATACCTGCACGAGATCTACAGCAGCGTCACCTGCGTCGTTTCGCACGTGTCGCAGATGGAGGCGTCCTGGGCGCGGGAAAAGTTCAACCTCGTGGCGGCGCGCGACGCCTTTGATGCGTCGGCCAACTTGATTCAGAACGAACTCAGCATGATGCACAATTGGAATGGACAGCTCCACGACGAATGCCAGGAGGTACACTACCTCGCATCGCTTTCATACGCAGGTAGCGACCGAGATCGAGCGTAGAAGCACCGTCGCCTGGTCGAGATCGAGCAGCGTCTTAGCGTCGCCGACGCACTTGTGGCCGAAACAAGTGCGCGATGGAATGAGCTGCAAGACCAGCACAACGAGTGCCTAGACGCATGCTTGCAGCTGCGCCTGCAAGTCGAGACGGATGCGACCCAGGTACTACCCGTCACTTTCAAAAATGCTCAAAACGCGGCGGTAGAAGGACGTGCAGGAAAACGAGCTGCGCGACCTGAGAGAGCACGTCGCTGAGATGACGGAGCGTTTGGCGGCGGCATCGACCAGCACCCATGCCATCACACTCGAGCGAGACGAAGCGCGAAGCGCCCTCGAGCAGCTGCGGGCGGCGCACACAACGGCCCAAGGCGACTTGGACCAAGCACGAGCCGCATACGAGGCGCTGAGCGCGACGTTGGATCGCCTACGCGTCGAGAAGATCGACCTCGAAGCCTTGTTGGGCACGCAAACGTCGCGCATGCACGAGGTCGACTCTATCAATGTGTCGATCATTCTTGTCAACTTGAAACGTGCATAGATCGAGTCGTCTCTGGAAACCACGTCGGCAACCCTTCAAGAGAAGCGCGGGCAGCTCGAGACCACAAAGTCGCATGTTCATGCACTTCAGAACGCGATCTGGGACATGTACATTGTGCTCAAGCCGCGGCTACCGGCGATGACACCGCCACCACGCGACGCACTGGAGGTCGTGCGCGGTCTGCCGACCGCCATTGACACCCTCGTGGCGGCCGAGGTGAAGGCGTCGTCGTCGGTGGCGCTCAAGCAGTCGCTCTTGCAGCACTGCGAGAGCGTCGATTACGCCGAGCCATCGCTCTCGCTCGTCCGCGAGCTCCAAAGAGACCTTGCACAGACCCAAGACGAAAATCAGGCATGTCATTTTTCTCGGTAGCTCGTCGTATCATTGCAAGCAGACGCTCAAGATGCAGCTTTCCGGTGCGCGTGCCGATGCATGGGGCTCGCATCGACCCGAGGCACCAACGGTTGCAGCACCCGAAGAAGATCGGCGCGCCGCAGTTGCGGCCAGCTTGCGCAAGAAGCTCACGCCCAACGAACTGCAGAGGCTACACGCCAAGCCGCCGCCACCGACAACCAAGGTTCGTACGAGCAAAGGCGACAAAGTTGCCCAACGTCGATACGTAGACGCCACGATTGGACTCGCAAGCGCTGGCCGAAGCCTACGTCCAGGAGGCCAAGAACTCGTCGCTCGAGGAGCAGCTGCTGCGCCTGCATTCGGCCTTTGCCTCGTTTCGCACCGACATGTAGCGATTCAAAGACACGAGTAGAGTTGATACAAACGATACTTAAGCAGTATGTGTGGCTTCGTCTTGGGCCTTGCGCCGCAGGTACTCGTCGCGCTCGGCGCGCTTGATGGCGCGGATCTCGGCTTCGTTGCGGGCGACAATGTCATCTACGCACGGTATGAGCCGGTTCAGCGATGGAAGAAGGGACGTACAGAAGCCTGTCTTGACCATGAAGACCTCCATGCCCATGCCAATGACAAAGCATGCGGGTACGAGCTTCTTGAGGAGCGGCGTCAGCGACGCCTTGGGCACAACCGGGGCCATCCCAACGTTTTCACAAAAATGAAGAGATGCCATTGGCCTGTTTTTGCTTCTTTTGATTGGTCCCATATTCCACGCAAGCGCGCGATGCCATTAGGCGAACCAACATATTTTAGCCAATCGGGTCGCTGCACGCCGATCGCAACATCATCATGCTCGGGCGCCGACCGCTCGCGGCCGAGGCCCACTGCATCAAGATCCAAGTACGACCTTGCGATTGCACTTTAAAGACGCGTGCTAGTAGGCGGCGTACCGCGGCTGGCGCGTGCGGCGGCTTGTTCTGCACGACGTGCGCGATGCGTTCGCCCAGATCGTTCGCGAGCTCGAGACGGACAGCTTGACGCACCTCTTGCTGCAGTGCGACGCTACAACGATTGCGTGGCCATCGACGCGCCTCTGCTACCCGCGCTTTACAGCAGGTCTCGTCACGTCGTACGCCATCTCACGTCGTCGTCAAGTGTTGTTTCATATCTGCGTGGTAGGTGTCCTGTCCGAGCGACCACACGAGCGATCGAGCCTCTTCACGACATGGACGAGACGTCGCGAGAGCCAATGGTAGAGACACCACCGGAAGCGCTGGCGGCATCATTGCCCGTCGAGCCACCGATGCGGCTCATGAAGGCGCCGCCCTATCTGGCCGACACGTTTTCGGCCATGACCAGCACCATCGTCCGCGTTCGCAAAGAAGAGCCGGCCATCGAGAGCACGCCAGTGCATCTCGTCCACGCATCACAACCCGCAAGCATCTCGCCTTCTTGTGATCGCCAACACAACATGAAGCAAGTGGTCGAGTCGAGTTGGTCGGTCCACGCGCTTTTGCAGATGGACCCGCTTCGCATTCAGGACGAGCTCCAGTGGGCAAAGGATGCCCTCCGCGAACGCATCGAGGTACACCTTCTCGAGCTTTATAGACTTATATGACTCGTTCACGCTAGTTTTTGCGGGCCCGGGCCGCCGCCTCTCAACTTTCTTCATAACCACAAGTCATCGCTTCCAAGGCGACATAACGGACTAAAGGCAACGTGTCATGTGCGGTCCTTTGCCATACATCGTTCTCGGGCCTCTGGCTAGGGGTTTACTTTCAAGCGTTCTACAAGTCAGGTTGGGAGCGAGTGCTGTGATTGGAGGCCGCTGCACATGGGACGCTCCGCAGCACAAGACATACCATGTGTCGTAACGATAGGATTAGGGATTAAACAGGGAGCGGGGACATGGCGTCATCTTCGTAAACCAAATGACACTCTTCGTCTTCAATCATCTCACGGACATGATGCTGGCATGCATAGAGGAGGACGGTGGGCACGCCGAGAAAGAGCAGAATGCACGTATAGTCACCGCCGAGGTACGTCTGCGCGATCGTGTTGATGCCATAGTTGAGCGAGCAAAGGAGGAAGCTGGCAGCCGTAATGAACGCCTGCAGCGTTCCGTAGAGCCGGGTGGGGTAGCAAATCACTAGGACAAGGATCGTACGTGATCGTGAGACGGTAACGACGTACTGATGTAGGCGAATTGGAGGCTATAGAGACTCGACTGCGCAATCGACATGAAGAGAAAGCCAACGAGCTGGACTTCGAGCACCGGGACGAGGAGCGTCAATAGAAAGAGCTGCGTGAGGAAGAGGCAGCCGGCAAAGACGCGGCGGAACCCGACCGTGTCGATGCAGTGGCCCACGATCGGCGCGAAGAGGAACGTGCTGTTGGAGACGAGCGGGAAGACATAGTTGATGTAGACATCGGCCTTGGCGACATTGGCCGCGGCCGTTTTGGCGATGATGCTGGGAATCGCGCCGCCCGTAAACGAAAAGACGAGTGAGAGCCACCCAAAGTAGAACGCAAAGTGCCAGAGATCACCGCTTTGAAGCGTGCGCTGGAGCCCCTCGAGGAGCAGCGTTGGCTTCTATACGGTCCATTTCGTCATATGAGACGTCTTCATGTGCGATGCGCATCAAGAGACAACATGTACCCGCGGACGAGGAATATAGCAGCTCACGCCCGGCACCCGCACGCGTTCTTTGGCGCTGTGGATGTTTTTCGCTGGATAGATGAGAAAGCAGACGCAAAAACAGACCGCGACGAGGATTCTAGACATGACAATATAAGACACAATGTCCATAGTGAAAGGAAGACTCTCGGTGGACGTACGCATAGCCTTCGAAAAAGTGGTGGCGCGTCATCCCTGGCAGTTTGAGGAGCATGTAGACGTAAGCTACCAAGATACAACATGTCGTCAAGACTTGGACCAACAAAGAAAAAAGGCGGTACCAGAAATATTGAAGATGCTCGACATGATGCTGCACGGAATGCCTTGGGCCTCGAAGAGATTGATCACTTGAAACGACGAGAGGAAAAGGCCCATGCCGCCCATGCCAATCAGGCCATAGCCGACGATGATGCCGGCGCCGTCGAGAACGCTCGAGTCCCCGACGGAAACGAGCACATTACCAAGCATCGCGAGCTAATATGACATCCACAGATGTCGCATGTCGTCGTGCGTTCCACGAAAAGTCGTACCACGAGGCCGAGCAGCGCCGAGACGCGCGGACCGATGATGTCGATGCTGAGCCCAAAGACAACGTTGGCGGCGCTCAAGAGGAGGAAGCTTGTCGAGTAGGTGTATTGGAGGCGAAGTTCTTGCTTGGGGCACACGCCTGGCGAATCGCAGAGCTCGTGCCACTGGTGCTCGGCCACGAGCGTCGTATAGAACGGGCCAAACCTATCGGCATTACCTTGTGAGATCGATGCGCCTCGCGCGAAAGGCGCACCCGAGGATGAGGCCGCCCGAGCACAGCGTCGTGAGCACGCAGCTAATGCAGAAAAGCACGCGGCGATCGATGGTATATGAGCCCGGGCGCGTTGGCGGCGAGAGCACGAGCGGCGGCGGCTGCATCGAGAGCGCGTCGCTGGTCGTCGGGATCGGCGAAGAGACCCAGAGGTTGCTGGTCGAGAGCGACCGCTGCGAGCGGACGAGCTGCAGGCGGGGCGGCGATCGCAGCTCGCGGAGGTCCAGCTTGGGGCTCATGGCAGCGTCGGGCCGTTTGGAGACTGTTACTACCAACCCAATCAGCGGCAGCTATTTCGACGAGCCAATCAGCGCCGATGCTTTTTCTGCGACACGCGGATGACTCAGTCGAAAAACCTGTTTTGGGTACCTAAACTAGGATCGTCAAGGCCGAAATCCAAACCGGCGCTTAATTGCACAGAGGATTGCAACAACCTAGGACGATGACAGCGGTGACTGCATCGCCAGCATTTCTTAGAGCAGCGATGCTATGTGTTTTGCGTGCTTGGTGTTGTGAATGCGAGCCATTACGATGCCGCTTGGCCGAAGAGGAAGCCCAACGAAGGGAGCATCTGCGACATGCGTAATGACTCATCTCCTAAATTCGGCAAAGTCCGAATTGGATCTGAATCGTTGCCGCAGCGACTCACAGGTGGGTGCGGTGGCACCTCAAGGCTTGTAGAGTGTTGCGGTGGTCCCCACTGTCGTGTCGGAGCGCAAAATGGTGGCAAAATTAGATGTTTGCAGGCGAGACCCCGTACGCCACCCCTCCTAGCATGTCGCGCCATCCCAGTGAAGTCGAGGCAAATGATGGTCGAGATCTTCTTCTCGATCACGCTAACCGACCACGCTAACCATTCGTTCGTTGGGTGCATTTCCAAGCTACAGAAAAGTGCAATATTGTAAGAACGACGCCTTGGACGGTGCACTCCAGCTTTGTATGCCCTTCACAATACTAATAATCATTTCGACTCTCAAGCCTTTCATTTTGACATTCGATTCGAGTTGGCCGACCGTTGGCGCGAAAAGCTTGCTCGACTGGGTTTCACCCCGACTCGAGACCTGGTAAACGCGCCTGGTTGTCGAAACCAAGAGCAAACGGGAAGCATTTTTGACGACTCGACCGGCGACCTGTCTGCTTGAGAACCACCAGCGGCAAGGGCGTCCTGCTCACGCGGACCCCACTTATTTTGACCATTTTTCGCGTTTTTGAATTGTGATATTGTGCCTCCTTACACACTTTAACAATGACATAAATACCACTCGTTTTTGCAGCGGTTATAAAATAGGGATGGGGTTCGAGACGATTAATGGGCGCTCAATAGAAGCGCGGCGCCGATCGACCGACAGGTGTCCGTTCGACGTGGTCCATAACACACGTGACGCAGGCCTTGGTTGTCGTTTTGCCCGTAATTTGGCGGGGGAGGGCGACGGGCATGCGAATCAAGCACTGACTACAGACAAGTTCTCCACACACGCGGCAGTGGTGCTTGCGCCGAAACGGATTGAAGGACGCCTTGCAGAGGAGGCAGAATTGGCGCGAATGGTTAGGTACCCACTCAAGAGGGCTCGCGAGCCGGTCGACGAGGAGCACATCGCAGGAGGCCGAGTGACTTCGGCTCGTCATCGACGTCGACGTCGACGACGACGAGAGCGACGAGCACGACGACGCATCGCTGCGCGACGATGGACACGGTGCAGTCTCATCGAGCACGATGATACACAGCAAGCAGACCTTGACGTCGTTTGTGCCGGGCAGCGTCATCTCGACGGCCTCTCGGACAAGGCAGTTGGAGCATGCGAGGTCGCCGCACTATAAGAAATCGATGAGGATGGGAACATGCGCAGTTGCATCGTACGACGCGGCAGTGATGCTTGCGGCGCAGGAGGTTAAAGTTGCGAGAGCACACGCGGCAGCTGTCGCGCTGCTCGTCGTCGACCCATTTCGCCGGGTGCATGACGTACTCGAGCGGCAGCACGTAGTTGCTTCGCGTCGGCTCCTTGGTGGCGGTGGTGTCCATGGCAAATACTTGAATGCCAAGGCTTTCAAGGCTAGATTGGGGCAGAGAAATGGGCGCATGTGTGCATACTTTTGTCACCTGACCAGCCGTTCCGACCCGCCATACGATCGACGGCCACGGCACACAAAAAACACACCGCCGGTATCCTAGATGCTTGGTGTGCCGTCTCCTACCAAAAGTAGCTTTCTCCAGTTTGACACGCATCCAAGCGGGGGTGGCGAGGGCGGCGGCTTACTAACAGCGCGAGGGCCTTCGACGTCCGTCTGTGCAAAGATGCGTCTGCGCCATCGGAAATCGGTGGCCACAAGCGAACGCTTCACAAAAGTGATCGGCGGCGACGCAATGTGTGTGCCAGGTGTGTGCTGGGTGAAGAATTGCCTTGTCCGCATCCTTCGAGGTGCGATGCGGGTTGCATATGCAGGCGACCTGACGACTGTACCTACCCGAGATGGGTCGAATGGAGGAGCGCTGCTCCAATCTCGACGTTGCTGTTCGGTGATCGTGTCTGGGTGCTTCCAACGACTGACCACTGGCGTTCTTCGAACACACCAACGAGCATGCGGTGATGCGCTGTCCGACCGCTCTGTCCGACCATAAAGCAAGTGTTTAGGGATGTTTGCAAAAAATGACGCGCCATGCAAGGCGACGACATTGCTTTTTCCCTTTTGACAGACACCACCACGCGCTTCAAGTAGTAGCGATGTACCTGTCGTACTTGGATCCCACAGCCGCGATGGCGCCAGTGTATCACTGCAGGTGCCGTTGCGGCTGCAAAGACAGCTCATGACCAGCAAATGCTGTGCATCCCACTGCTGTGGCGTCTTGGTCATCCGCTTCTTTTGATGACGAGACGTTGAGCGCGCCACTTGCAGAAATGACAAGAAGCGTCCCCTCGGTGTGTCGTCGCGCCAACATACAGAAGTACAGTATCTATTATATCTGCAAAGCCATCCAAATACGCCATTTTCAGGGTCGTTGAGTGGCCCCTTGGTTGTGGCGCTAACGATAGCGTACACGTACATTCTAGATACGAAGGATGCCTTGGGTATTCCTGTACCGTCCCAAGCACTGGAGAGGGAGTGTGTCGAGGATGCCCTTCAATGTCGTGTTGCGATCGTCTATCACCTTTTGTTTGGTGGATTCATGAAGCAGAAGCGTCGTAGATGTGCTCCAAGCTGCAAGCGTAGCGGCAGCGTTTAAATAACGTTGAAAGAAAATGCACCAGTCGCGGGTACACCGTGGTCGTCTTTAAAGAGACGACGTCGACAGCTTGTGCGCCGTGATTGCCTGCAACCGCTTGTCACCGGCTCGTTTTTCAGCCCTGTGGGTTCCCGACCTGGAACCAATTCCTTGCCTGGAACCAAGCGCAAGGCTGCAGGACATTGACCGACTTGGCGCTAAACCTAACAAGTCGTAGACTGATAGTCGTCGTGGACCAATCACGTGTGGCGCATCCACATCACATGTGTGCAAAAACGCGCGTTTCGAACAGACCAATCACAGCGCTTGGCGATGGGATCTTTTGGTATTGCTGGCGATCGTGCATTTTGTGATCACCAAATTTCACATGGCTTCTTCGCTCAGGGGAAAAAGGGCGCGAGGCCTGCATTACCGCTGCACCTCGGGTGAGGCGTGGCGGGTTGCTTAGCGGAGATCGAAGACTAGGATGCTAGGCTCTTCCGACCAGTCTTTGGTTTCGCCAAGGGTATATAATAAATTTATTATATGCCCTTGGTTTCGCTGAGCCGCCTTCTCTTGAAAAGACCGTTTCGACTCCTTGCTGACGCGAAACACCCAAATGGGAGTGCACTGGAATTTGGCGAATCTGGGGATATATGATCGTGCCGCGATTTTCGATTTGGAAACCGTCAGACTAAAGCGAATACGTGCCATGAACACTGTGTGGCGTGAGGTGCCACCACTGTTGTACAAACTAGGCACGGGAGTGGATTCGTACGAAGACAGGTTGTGTGACGTCCGCAGCTACTGGAAAGGTTGAGAGAATAAGAAATAAGAATAGATTGATCAATGACCCTAAACGCAGTCACAAGACAGTTTCGAGCCGATCATGGAGTACATTGCATGCAAGACCTCTACATCGAGAGGTTCCTTATAGGTTGGCACATATATATATGAACGTGTTTCGCGTTATCTTCGTTGTTACAAAGAGTTCGCATACGTAGAGACTAGCAATCTCCTTCTTCTTCATTCGCTCGCCGGGTAGGTTGGCACATGTACATGCATTTGCAATCCGATTTTTCTTGAAAGGCCGAGCTACTTACTACCACACTGCTGCTTAGTACACAGTAGTGTGTACTAAGCAGCAGCCGTGTTGATGACGACAATGCCGGTGGTGGGCGACAGGGTCCCATTTTTTGGAAATAGCCCGTTTTGTGTTGGAAGTACAGTAGTAAAAAAAGTCAACGAATGGGATCGAACAATGCTGCTGGAAATGTCGGGTCCATGACGTGCTGTTTGTGTAGAAAGGTACTTCACGAAAACGAATTACTATAGTAAGTTACCTCGCGACTGTCTCGCGACCGACTAACGACCTCCTCTCAACCTACGCGACTACTTGATATAATGCTAGGACGTACATAGTTATAAATGGAGTACTACCTCCTGTCCAACTCGAGATGTGTAAGCTGTACCATACCGCACGTGCAGCACGTGCGTGCATGGACAACGCGTCCATTTTCTTCTAGGAACGTTCCCCACCTGGATTGCATTTGCGACACATCGCAAAAGGCACAAGTTGTCCATTACAGCGCCTGTCGCACACATCGCATGCATCGCAGTGGACCGATCCACGCGATCGAGCCGCTACCGGTATACGGGTGCCGATGTTTCGTAAGACGTGAGACCCGCCGTCGGTTCTATTCTTGCACCCGTGCGTACAGGGTGCGACGCTCGCCAAACGCATCGTTTGTTGGTTCTCCGTGCAGCCCGGCCTGTTTTGGTCCTTCAAGTGCCGATCTTCGCAATCACTGCGTGATGCACGCTACAGGATACCCTTCCGAGAACGCTCCGCTCGTGCAGACCCGGATCGGCAACTCGCCAATCACTCCACATTTTCCATTTCCCGAACACGGAGCGCGATCATGGTGCTCGTATCTCGACCGACAGCGCTGGGTCTCTTGCTGCACGCGGCGGTCGCGGCAGGTGCACTTACCTGCGTCCGTGATCCGTCCATCAAAAGCGCCGTCGGCAACTGGTGCATGTGCCAGCCGTGCCATCTCTGCGAATATTCGCTCTTCAAGGGGTGCCAGCCCATCACACAGAACGCCATTTCGCTCTCGAACGGGTCGGACATGCCCTCCAAGCAGCCGATTGTGGACCCAGCGGCGTGGTTTCTCTCTGAAGCCGAGCTCACGCGCAGCCGCGGCGGCGTGCCCCGGTCGTCGCTGGCGACGGCGACATCCGGTAACCTCGTCGACGTCTACCCCGACACGAGCAGCGCTTTTGCAGCCATGCACGACGACGTCGCGATCGCGAACGCTGCGTACTTTACGAGCTGGACGATGCATGATCTCCAGTACAAGCCGCAGGTCGATCCGTCCATTACGTTCAAGTCGACGTGGGGCAAGGCGATATCCGAGCACAAGCTCAAGGTGCGTGGCCTTGTGTGGGAGAACCTCGTCGAGCTTGGCAACGTCACGGATATGTTTGCGTGGATGAACTCGCTGCCGGCCGACGACGTCCAGCTCATGACCGACGACCGCGTCCCCGCCATCACTGGCTCGTTGCACCAAAAGACGCTGACGCTGACGCAAGGCAAGCGTCTCTGGTCGTACGTCGGTGGCCTGGACCCGGGCCTCAACCGATGGGACACCAAGTACCACAACGAGACTGCGCTGCGAGCGTCCGCGCATGTCGATGTGAGCAGCCATGGGTGGCTGGACGTCCACGCGCGCATTGACGGCCCCGGTGCCGTCGACATCCTCGGCAACTTTCTCGACCGGTGGAACGATCCTGTGCACCCAAGTGCCGCATGGGGGCCCCCGCTCGTGAACCCCCCGGTGCCGCTCCAGGCGTCGTGGAACGTGCCGCGGGATGTGATTGCACCGGCGTCGATCCTTGACAACGTGACCATCGACAAGGCCGCTGGTACCCACGACGTCCAGGTCCTCCGCACCTTTAGCTGCAAGTACAAGGGCTACAAGTCCTTTGCACCAAAGGGCGAGTCGTCCATCTTTGCGGGCCGCATCAAGGCCATCCGGAACGCGAAGAACTACATTTACATTGAAGACCAGTACTTTGTCCACATGCCCGAGCTCCTCGACGAGCTCCTCAAGGTCCTCCCGACCATCCAGCGCCTCATCATCTTTACGGTCACGCCCGAGGGCAGTGAGGCTGCTGTCGGGTACCAAAAGTACCAGTTTGACATGATCGCGCCGCTCCTCGAGAAGTTTCCCAACAAGGTGCAGATTTACGTGCCGCAGCCGCACCTTGGCATCTACGTGCACTCCAAATCGATGATCGTCGACGACGTCTACGTGTCGGTCGGTTCGAGCAACTGGAACGTCCGCAGTATGACATCGGACGCTGAGATTGGTGCCAACGTCGTCGACACGACGCTCGTTCAGGACGGGTCCATCACGGTCGCCAAGCACGCGCGCGACTACCGCATCGCCAAGTTTAGTGAGCTGGTGGGCTTTTCAGTCGACCTCTCCAACTTGTCGTTTTTGGCCGCCGCCGATGCCCTCGAGGCGTACGCGACGTCGTCGAATGCGTGGATCCAGCCGTACCTGATCTACGAGAAGCCATTTTGGGTTGTCTACACGGACATTCACAAGGACCTCATTGACGGTGACGGCCGGTGCCCCAACGCCAAGCTTGAAGACGGCGAGCTCGACGTCGGCTGCAGCAACACGGACTGGCTCGCGAATCAAGCCCGCGTCACGCAAGTCACTTGCGCGTGCCTGTCCAAGGGCCTCACGATCTACAACTGCCCCGACCTCGACGATTACATGGCCCACGAACAAGCGGCGTTTGAATCGTCCATGAAGTGGTAGCCTCAACGTTTGGGAAATTATATCGCGATAAAAATTAAACAATTTTGTACATTCCTCAATCAAGACTGAACTACTTGGGGGCAACAACCGTGTTGGTGTCCGCCATGCCGGTGGTGGGCGAGGCGGGTTAGTTATTTGACTGACACTACCAATTTGGAAATGGCTTGAGCTCGCTTGCTCTGCGCCTCGATCTTGGATCTTGTCACGTGTGCGATCTTGGAATCGGATTTCCAGATTGCTCGGCCTTGCGCGAAAAACCTCTTCTACTTCTTGGTAACAGCCCTGTCGCCAACGGTCTGTCAATGCAGGTGCGCACCACTATCGGCACGGAAATCGTTCGTGTTTCGAACAAGTGACGTCGATGTGGTATACCGACTGCGAAAGTACGTACCTGCTTTGGCGGCAAAGTACGCCAACTTACGCGGACTTGACCCGAATGCCCCGCGTAACTTTTTTATCGTGGATGGCGTCGAAGTGTGCTTTAGACACACCGAACGCACTCTCAAAATAAATAGCACGTAAACGAGGTTTCAGACTCTCAATCCACTCCCCTCTCAAATTGAGAGAGTCTGATTCCAACAAACGCGGAGCAAATCTCGTTACTTCGGCTTTCAACTGGTGGTAGCGCCGGTCCAAAACGTCTATATGGAGAGGCGCCTTTGGCATGATCGTATCTGGAGGCCGGGGTACTCTGCTTGCAAGTTCAAGTTGCGCCATGACAATCGCGCAGGCTTGGAGAAGTGATTACGATTGCAGCACCGTTTTTGTTGTGCTTCGTGAATACACGGTGTGGCAAGTGGCTTTGACGTAGCGTTCACAGCACCCTTTACACTGCTAAAAGCAGCGAATGACGATATCGTCGCCCAGGTACAATGCACTGTTATGTACAGTGTAGTTGACACGCGCCACGCGTGCGCTTTTGCGATGTGAATCTTCTCCATCTCTTTGCATAGACTGGGCGATGTGTCTCCTCGAATGATCACGCATCGTACAGGCATACCGGGAACCGCAGCGGTACACGTTTTGGTAGCCGATGAGTGGCTTTGGCGTGCTGCTTTGACTTTTCTAGACACGGATGCATTTCATGTGTATCTTGGCAGGCCCATGGGCCATTTACTCGTGCAAGAGCAAGAGAACATGATGTGCATCAACGGTTACGGCATTTGAAGCTACCCTTTCTGTGTGCATCGGCAATGCCAACTTGTCTTGTTTCAGCGACTCGGCACGTGCGACGGTTGAGAGCGTGCGGGCCAACGCCAATCGGCGTCGAGTAGTCTGCATGCTCGTTCAACGCCGGTGCAGTGGTGACCAACATCTGTTTGGATGTGGGCGTTACAGCCGTTTCCAGCCATCACGCCGGATGGACGGCAGCGGTGCTGTAGGTGTAGGTCTAGGAGATCTTGGATGCTACACAGCACCGTGCACGTCGCGTGTGCTTTGAGCTTGGCCACCAACATCGAGCATAACCAACTCACTTTCCAACTTTCCGCCGACAACAAACATGGTCCACGTGTGGTATCTCGGCGCGTTTGCTGCGGCGACGGTCGTCTCGGGAGCGGTCACGTGCACGCGGGATCCGTCGATGAAGAACGCGCTCAACAACTGGTGCATGTGTCAGCCGTGCCATCTCTGCGAGTTTTCGTTGCGCAAGGGCTGTCAGCCGCTGCAACTCCAAGCCACATCGACGTCGAACGGGTCGGAGATCGCGCCGACGCAGCCGATTTTGGACTCGCGCGCTTGGTTTTTGACCGACGATGAGCTCACCAAGAGCCGTGGTGGCGTCGTGCGATCGTCGCTCACGGCGTCGACGTCCGGTAACCGTGTCCGGGTCTTCCCCGATACAAGCACGGCATTTGAGTCGATGCACACGGATGTCTTGTCGGCATCCTCGGCGTACTTTACGGGCTGGTCGGTCAACGACATCCCGTACATTCCGCAGATCGACCCGTCCGCGACGTTCAAGACGACGTGGGGCAAGGCCATTGAAGCCAACAAGCTCAAGGCGCACGGCCTCGTGTGGTCCAACCTCATTGACCTGGCCCAGGTCACCGACATCTTTGCATGGATGAACTCGTACCCGTCCACCAACACATCGTCGGTGCAGCTCATGACCGACAACCGGATTCCCGGGCCGTCCGGGTCGCTGCATCAAAAGAGCTTGATCGTCACGCGCGGCACAGAACTCGCGGCGTACGTCGGCGGCCTCGACCAAGCGCTCGATCGCTGGGACACCAAGCACCACAACGTCTCGAGCCTTCGGACGTCGGCCAAGATTCAAGTCGACTTTAACGGCTGGGTCGATGTCCACGCGCGCGTCAACGGCCCGGCGTCGACCGACATTCTCGGCAACTTTTTGGACCGGTGGAACGACCCGGACCACCCGGGGTCGCCGCTCGGCAAGCCGTTTGTGACACCCCCGGCGCCGCTCCAGTCGTCGTGGAACGTACCCCAAAACGAGATCGCCGCCGACGCTGTCTTGAGCGCTGTCGACGTCGACAACACGGTCGGCACGCACGACGTCCAGATCCTCCGCACGTACAGCTGCAAGTACAAGGGCTACAAGTCGTTTGCACCAAAGGGCGAGACGTCCATCCTCGCGGGCCGCATCAAGGCCATCCGGAACGCGAAGAACTACATTTACATTGAAGACCAGTACTTTATCCACGTGCCCGAGCTCCTTGACGAGCTCCTCAAGGTCCTCCCGCGCATCCAGCGCCTCATCATCTTTACGGTCACGCCCGGCAAGGTCGAGCTTGCGTCCGGCTACCAAAAGTACCAATACGACATGATGGCCCCGCTCCTTGAGAAGTTCCCGAAGAAGGTCCAGATCTACATTCCTGACCCGAGCCTTGGCATCTATGTCCACTCCAAGGTCCTCCTCGTCGACGACGTCTTTCTCTCGCTCGGCTCGAGCAACTGGAACGTCCGCAGCATGACGTCGGACGCAGAACTCGGTGCCAACATTGTCGACACGGCGCACGTTCAAGATGGCGCGATCACGGTCGCCAAGCACGCGCGGGATTTCCGCATCAGCAAGTTTAGCGAGCTCACGGGCTTCTCGGTCGACTTGTCGAAGAAGTCGTTTTTGGCCGCCGCCGACGCCTTGGACGCGTACGCCAAGTCGCCCAACGCGTGGATCCAGCCGTACGTGCTCTACTACAAGCCGTTCTGGGCCATGTACGGCGAAATCATGAAGGACCTCGTGGACGGCGACGGTCGCTGCGCCAAGCTCGAAGACGGCGAGATCGATAGCTGTGCAAACCTCGAGTGGCTCGAGACGCAGCCGCGCATCGTTCAGGTCACGTGCGCGTGCCAGCGCGGTGGCCATATGCTGCAGAAGTGCGCCGAGATGGAGCACTACATTGCCGACGAACAAGCCCGCATTGAAAACGATTTTTGAGTTGCGCTAGATACATACACCATAATCGACTGCCTCGTTACGTTGCGTCTTCTTGTCTCCACGGCCGACCATCACGGTGTAGGGTTAGGACCATCGACTTCAGTGCGTTGCTAGCAGGTTGTGGCTCGTCAAATATTCGGTCGAGTTCAACATGGAATCAACGGCAATGCAATATACAGTGTACAGTGCTGCATATGCGCAGAGTACAGGACGCCTGGTCACCCAGGGGGGTCGCCCGAAACCCACGGGTGGACCCGCCAGGTCGGCCGCCCCCCGCCCCCATACATCCCTACAGTACACTGTATTTGTAAAAAACCCGCGGGTCTGTGGGGCCGGGGGTCGATCTGACCAATCAAATGCGTCCGTTCTCATAGCAGCCAATCACAGCAAGCAACGTCTTTTGCTACCGATTCCCCTCTCCCGTGCCGTATATTAGCAGAGCTACTGGAGACTGCTGCTGGTAGAGGCTGCTGGAGATGTGTTGACCTTGCATCCTACGTCTCGAAGATGGAGGTACGCAATGTACGTATTGATATTGTACACTGACGCCTCGATAGCAATCATTTGACGCCATGGCAAACAACGGGATCAAAGACGGGCGTTCCAAGGGCGGCCACGTTGCCGGGTACGGTACAATACCGTACGTTTGCCATACCACAATCGCATAAAAAACTTCGGATGTATCAAAATTACCGCGTTTACTTCGAAGCTCGTGTCTGTAAGTGCGAATCAAGGACCTAGAATCACGGTCCGTAGGATTTCTCCTCGTTCAATGCGAAATCCGCCAATCGGATGGATCCAAACAACGCGCATTTCAATTCTGCAGCGTTTGGTTCCAACAGAATTTCAGGATTCGTCCTAGAACTAAAGTTATGCTCGGGACCGAAAACGATTGTAGTGAGGCAAACGTACGGCGATGGCAGCGACCATGGCAGCGGCGGCCCATCGGTAATGCAGGCCTCATAGGGAAGAAGGGCGCATTTTTCCCTCTGAGCGAAGAAGCCATGTGAAAAACTCGCTTGCAGGAAGATGGTACAAGAAGGCGGGGAATTTGCAAAAGGCGTCATAGCCAGGGTACCTTTCTGTAAAATACGCAGAAATTTGCAAAACACGTCACGCCGGCCGAGACAAAAGCCGGGCAAGGTCGGACAGACCCGAAAATTGTCCGAAAGAAGTACAGTACGTATGACACTAAATTGGTTTTCTGACATAGTGTGAAATGTGACCTTTTGGCTTGCAGAGCAGCAATTTTGGGCAAGTGAGCTAGCGTCATTTGCAAAAAGCGTCCTTGGGCTGTGCAATGCATCAAAAGTGCAGCCACGTCGACTCAACTGAGCTCAAGAGCCCCGAGCTGCGGTCGGCAAAAACGGGCACGTCCCAGAGCAAGCCCGCGGCCTGGATGTGCGAGAAGAACCACGTATAGTCGTCACTCGTCTCGCCCTCGACGAGGGCAATGGCGAGCGTAACGGTCTTGCCGTCGCCGTCGACCCCGACGTAGAGTAGTTGCTTGCCATCGTAGATCGGGTGGTGCGAATTGGCCCCATCGACTCAGACCACACGTGGGTTCTTGTGGGACGCTTCGATCATGTGACGCAGTATAATGCACGCGCGGCGGAAACTGCCATCGTCGTGTGCCTCGACGACTGTGGTTGAGCCGGGGTTTGCTGCGGCAATTGCGTCGAGGAACGGGCAAATGCGGTGGTACGACTCAATATATTTGCCTTCGATTCCCTGCGTACTAGGACCCGAGCTCGGTACAGCTTGTACTGAGTCGCCTTGGCTTGGAGGTTGATACCGTCGTTGCCTTGGACTTCTGTCGTGATGGCCTTGATTCGGATCTTGGGGTTGGCGCGGATGGTAGACTGGACGGTCGTCATCGCAGCAAGTTGCCGGGCCGTCGGCTTGCGCGTTGAGGTGCAGTTGACGTGCTCGAGCACCATTGCGTGGACGAACCACGGCGTCGTCACAGCCCGCCGGTGCAGTGTGACAAAGAACGGGCAGTCTTCACCAGTGCACTTGATTGTCTTGACGGAGCCCGTCGACACTGGGACACGTACGCTGAAGTTGCCGACCGTGGCCATTGCCTTCACTGCAGCAGTGGCGGCGCTGCCAGGCATGAACTCCTGGCCAAGTTGCACAGCCCAAGGACGCTTTTTGCAAATGACGCTAGCTCACTTGCCCAAAATAGCTGCTCTGCAAGCCAAAAGGTCACATTTCACACTATGTCAGAAAACCAATTTAGTGTCATACTTACTGTACTTCTTTCGGACAATTTTCGGGTATGTCCGACCTTGCCCGGCTTTTGTCTCGGCCGGCGTGACGTGTTTTGCAAATTTCTGCGTATTTTACAGAAAGGTACCCTGGCTATGACGCCTTTTGCAAATTCCCCCAAGAAGGCTCCCAGGCTGGTGAAGACTTCGACGGCGTCGTCCATTCTCAAGCGGAACGTCACCGTCGAAACCGCGAATGGTCGGTATCGGCTACTCTCCGTGTACGTCAGGTCGTACAACAAGTGGCGCGTCGAGATGTCGGCCAGCGCCACCAAGACCACCATGATTCACGCGTGTGGGGTCGAGTGGGACACCTTCCAGCACGTGCTCAAGAGCAACAACGACTACGTCTCCTTCCGCGGCCACAAAGTAAAGGCCGTTTATAACGCCGCTTGAATGTTAGATATCTCCATTGTACTCCGTGTTTGTACTGACAGGTCGCCGGTCACCCCGGGGGGTCGCCCGGAACCAGCGGGTGCGGCCGGCGAGGCCCCTGACCCCCCACCTGAGGCTCATTTTTACCCGCGGGGTCGCTCAAAAATCCGTAGGACCCCCGAAATTTAGACCCGGCTTTTGTAACAGATACTAGTACATGGGTGACCGGGGGTCCACAGAGTACACTAGGTAATCTGATTCAATCCAGTGTCTGCGCTGCACTCTGATGACAGATTGTTCTTGTTGACATCCTAGTCGACGGAGTAATTGTTGCCGTTGAAACGGGTCCTCTATTACAATAGATAAACTCTGCTAGATAAAATTGTCGGACTTTCTTTGCTGTGTACACTACGTAGAGGAGCTTGATTTAGGCAGGCGGACGCAAGAGCGCGATCCGCAGGGCAAGGTGACGTCGCGGCCACTTGTGTTGGGCGAGGAACCGGAGAAGCCAACGAAGAGTAGGCTGCTCGGGCTCTTGTACGAGGCTGCTCGGGCTCGTGCACGAGGCTGTGGTGCAAGTGCACTTGAGCGACACGCGCCGCCTTGACGGCAATCGTCCATGGACTGGACAGCGGTAGGTCGGCCCGAAAGACGCGATCGTTCCGGACTCACCAGACGTTGAACCAGACGCAGGCGCGGAGCACGGGCCAGAGGTAGCGAAACTCGGCTTGGTGCATGTTGGAGACCGTCTTGAGCGTCAAGTAGAGGTAGCCTGAGAGCGTTGTCGGCAAGGTCACGCCCAAAGGGACCATGACTGTGTGAAGCGTGCCCCACGATGGAGAAGCCGGTGGCCTTGCGCACCCGCACCGATGACCGGCGGCTCGCCGTTGATGAACTGGGGGGTCATTTTGTCGATGATTGCGGCGGTCGTGTTGTCCGGTGCGACTCACGCGACTGGTAGGCTGACCGCTTGCAGTATCATGGTCTTGCCGGCCAAGGTCGTCGACCAGTGTCGCCAGAGGAGAAACCTGTGGCGCAGGTGATGCAGCGCGTAGTCGCAGCGAGCGCTGCGTGGCAGGTTCGTAGCTACGAGAATGCGAAGCGCCTTGGCCGGCTGCGACGGCTGAAACAGCGTCAGCAGGTTGGGCAGAGGCGAGTGCGTGAGGACTTGCGTCTTGTCTCGGTTCGGCTTGAATCCTGAGAGACTGAAAAGTGGTCTACGAGCGCAAGCTGGCGCTGCCCCGTATGCGTTGTCCCTGTCTTGTATTTTTCCATCGGGATTTGAATCGGAGCCACAAAGTTGGTTGTCCGCAATGGTCACTTTGAGCCTACATGTTGCAATTCGAAGTGATTAGAAATGCAATTCGCACCGGTGGTGACGATCAGCGCGTCGACCACGAATTTCTTCATGTCCTCTGGCAGCCCTGATGTACGAAGGGGACGTCATCGACCAGTGCCAGTGCCTTGTAGATTGCGCGCTTTCCCATTTCGTAGCTGTCGCGCCTGATGGTCATGAAGCAGAAGTGGTAGAGGTGGCGGCCCGCAGCAACAAGCTCTGGAAGCACGTGCAGCACATCCAGCAGACGCATCGAAATATTCCAGTGTGGCAATCGCAGTACGCCGACGGCACAGCCGCAGACCCATTGCGCGTCAAATCCTGATCGATGACAGACAGTGTCTCGAGATGCATGCTCGTCGTCGCGAGCATCTCCAGGAGCAGCTCCATGGACAAAGAGAGGTTGCAATGGCGAAGAGCAAGAGATGTCAGCGCCGGGACTGACGACAAGCCAGCGATCAATGCCTCCATGGTGTCAGCGTGAAACCAGGAGACGACAAGGGACTGCAGTTGCGATAAAATTGGCGCTGCGGCCGGACATGTCGCCAGCGGGCTAAAGACGCTGCACCTGAGACGCTCAAGCTGCGTGAGCCCGACGGCGGTCGCAAGGCCCGTCAACATTGCAACGTCGACGACTCAGTTGATGCGCACGTCCCAAGTTGAGTTTTTCAACGACAATGGAAGCGTGCCGAAGCTAGAGGCGTTGATGATGCTGAGCTCTTGGAGGGCTGTGTGTCTAGGCTTGCAGCGCATCACAGAACGCAATGGCCGCATCGTGGTCCAGCTGGGCAACATTGGCCACACTGAGAACTGTCGCCGGCGCCATCGAGAGCCATGTGGCGAACAGATGTCCGAGTCGTGGCGTGGCGGTCGCGTGCTGCAGGTTGATATTTGTTGAACATGACATGGGCAGGTCAGTTCACATGCAGTACGTAGACAAATGAAGGGCTCAGTCCAGAGCTTATCCAGGAAAGAGAAGCACGAGGCTAGGTCTCCAAGTGTCCGGCCATCATCACCACTAATATCCGGAAGCTGCCTTCCGGATTCCCGCCATCTAGAATATTCGAGAATACTCCATTAGCAGACCCTTGGAGGTTGTCTTGTTGTACGTGGCTAGTATCAACTAACCGATGCACACCTTAACACACCTGATGATACCAATTGTTCCATCCCCAAGTGATAGAACGCCTTGTGAGGTCCTCTAGCGCCTATAACTCTGCAAGTTAACACTCCGATCGTATGTGATACTGCAAAGCATGGTGCTCGCCTCGTAA